GTGCCATCAATTTGTGGCTTCAGTTATCAGTGAAGATATACCTTGCTAAGAATGAAATACAGGCTTCTTGAAAGCCTGATAAAACTATGGATAACTTACAGTGTAAAAGGTAGAGCCCCATATGGTTCTGTCTTATATGGACTTCTTAATACATTTTCTAACATTCTTATTTGCATTATGAAATTAGGGTCGAACTTACTATTTTTTTCAGGTTTTTACAGTGAATTGCTTGAATTCTTTGCCAAATCCATTTTTGACATCTCATTTAAATACTTTGAATGGTACCTTAGTACAAATGCAAATAGGTTCTTCAAAATGATTCCCATCTTATTCAGTAAGTGCTGAATCCTACAAAAAAAAGGAACTTGGTGGGCTGGAGTTAAGGTTGTTTGGGTGACTTTTTTCCTTTGCAATTTCTTGATTTCAGAGCTTCATAGCAAATATAGGTATTTCTTTTGTGTATGTATGTGTGTGTGTGTATATATATATTTATATATATATATATAAAATTTCCTACTCAATGATGGATAGATGCTTACTTTTCTTACTTGCATAATTCCAAATTTTGTCTATTGTAGGTTTGTGTGTTAGAAATAGAAACTTTTGGTGAATTTGTCTGTAATCTGAAATTTGTAAATCACTGCTTTTTAATAAACTGGTTTTTTCAAGTTCTTGGCTAAGATTTGTGGTGTAATAGTGCATAAGCATATTTATGTAATGAATTACTGTTATGATTTAAAGCCTTAAGTTGTTTAACTCTCCAGTGAATAGTCTGCAATTTTAATTTAATAATGTACTAATAAGTGATATTTAATAATATATTAATCACTGGAAAGTAGTAAAATTGGAGCACTTTGGTAGCTTTAGTGAAAGAAATGTAATTGTCTGTCTTTTTATATTATTCTGGTTATTTTGACAAAACCGTTTTGGCTTCTGCAGCAGCAGCAGTGTTTTATACCATGTATAAATGTACAGTGGCACTTGGTTATCTGTGAAGTGGCTGTAAAGCGTGAAGTCAGAAAGGTCCTAGTCAGTGGTTGTACTTCATTGTGGTGGACGTACTCAGAGCTACAGGAATGGAAAGATTTCCCCAAGGATGGTGGCCAGTTATGGCTGGTGTGATGGCAGCGTGCTCTCTGGCTGTGGGGTGTACCGGTCACCAAAATATGGCTTGGAGTTTTCTGTTAAATGCTTATTTACCAGTCTGAACTTTTTGCTTTTTATTGTTCACTCCCAGATGAGGAAGTGCTTATTTTGTGTAGTTCCTGTCTTCCTTCCAACATAGTAATGTTTCTCATACAAAAGCCATGTCACTGTGCCAGAATTCTGCCGACTCTTTTAAAGATCAAGATTCCATCTCATATTTTTTTCTAAACTGGCTTGCCTATTTTTTTGTGTTGTGCTAATTTATTTTGGAGTTTTAAAAAACTTGTGCTTGTCAGGGAAAGATGAAGTAAAACCACATGTAGTGTGAAAATGTCTTCATGTCATAAATAATGAATGAATAGTGTATTTCATTTAAAGCAGAAAGCTTATTCCAGTTCATTGTCTCCCCTGCCCTGTTGTTTGATGTTTGTGTCACCTATTTTGTAATGAAAGTTACGGGAAGTAGTCACCTCAGGTGAAATCTACCTGTACTGTCTTGGCCACCATGAAATGTCCTTCTACTATGATAGATTGATTAATTTGTTAGATCTCCTTTTTGTTAGATAGCATAAGCAAATTATTCAAAATTCTTTTAAACGAAAGCTAGTCTGTATAGTAATTTCATTATTATTAATTACCATTAAGTGTTATTCATCAAATTAATGAACTAAGGGTGATGTGCAGCTTAGCAATTTGGGAAGTGATAGAGTTAAAAATTTACAGGAAGAAAGTAAAGGTTTGCCAGCTAGTTGTTTCAGTGTTTTAAAAATATTTTCAGACGTTGTTTAGAAGTTTAGTTTCTGCATTCTTCCTTTTCCCTAAATAACCCAAGAATGACTTCGCAAAATATTTTTCAGAAAGTTTATGAATGGTGACAAAATCCAGATGCACGCACATTGTTTTTCTCAGTATGTTCAAAAGTTTCTGCAGTTTCCTTAAGGCTTAACCCATGTATTTTAGTTTAGAACTTTTATTTCGGGTTAACTCCAGTTTTTATACAGGCTAATTGTAAGATGGAGGAATTTGAGGCAAAAGTACCTTTGTATCAAGTAGTGTCAAAATAATTATGTAAACTTCAAAGGTGTCTGTACCTGTTTATGTATGCTTTTAAGGTATAGTGTAAAATTGTTACACAGGCTATTTTCCTTTTTGTTTCTGAAGACGTGTGCTTTCTTATATGGAATTTTCAGAAAGCTGCTAGGCGTTCTTCACAGCAGCGTCATGTTCAGAAGCTCACATTCATTCTAGGATTGACTAAAAACAATCTGTTTTCTTCTTTTACGTCCAAATGATTAGGAAAGTCTGGTTTTTGGCAAAAATTTAACCACTAGTTAAAAACGTGATGGGCATTCTGTATGTCAGATTCCATTTCAGTACTGTGTTTCATGAAGACATTCAGATTTGGTGTTAATGATACCTTTTATCATTAAATTATAGTAGCAAACTTCTGCTTTTCTATGAAGTTGTGTTACAATAGTGTTAAATAAGATGTGTAGTTTTTATTCCTCTGCCTTACACTGTGAATAGATTAGATTTTTTAAATTATTATCATCATCATTTAGGAAGCAACAACAGATAAAAGTGTTGAAATTATCTTAGACTGTGATAACTAGACAGTAACGAATAATTCACTTCCTTTGTTGTGTATGTAGTGTGTCCTATAACCCATGGTCCTGAGGATGACAGGAAGGAATTTGTCTATAATTATCTGCATATTTTTAATTTGTCTTTCTTCAGTTGAGGAAGGAACATTTTTGTGTTCACAGGTTTTGATCTGTGATCTTCACTGGAGAAGGATCAGCTGAAGGATGGGCTGTCATTGTCCATCTACCATTCAGTGCCATACCAGATCGTCTTCAGCCTAGACCTGAAGTTGAGTTCACTCTTCTGGATTTTGCTGCTCCTTCTCCTTTAAAGGAGAAAATGAGCAGTATGTTCATGGCAATGCCTCCACAGAAAAGCATGGTTTAAAAAAAAAAGGAAGGTTTCCTTTGCAACTGAATTGTAAAATACAAAGGACCCCTGAATGATTCATAAAGTTATAGCATGGCAGTCTTCTTTTAATATCTGATAATAATATTTTTTGGAATGCCATGCTGGTAAACAAGCACTCTCAGGATAAATAGAAACAGTAGAGGATTAAAGCACTAAAACAGAGGAACATTGAAGAGCTTTCTCCTGCTTGGAAACAGCAATAACATTCACCCAAATAGGGAATGCTTTAGTTTGATGACAGAAATGAAGGGAAGGAGAAGCTTAGGTAGTGCTGCATCTAAGTGCCATCAAAGCCTGGTAAGAGGAAGCAGAACAGTTCAAGTGTTGCTGTCGTGTAGAAGCTTAGAAACAAATAACTTTGTTTGAGATGCTTAGTTTGGTCGTGCTGCTGTTTGGGTCAGCAACGCTGCTCTCAGTTACTGCACTTGTGGGCCGTTGCTGTTGTCTTGGTAGAGGATGGAATAATGAAACCAGCTCCTTGCTGGAAGGAATGAGGTGAACAGAGTGGAAGCTGGCAAGAATAGAGTGTGCTGAATTTCAGCTCACATTGCAGGAGACAAGAACAAAACTAATAAATCCTTCCTATTGGTAGTAGTTTTGAATTCAAGCCATGCTTCTGCACAGCAAACTGACAAGTCTGGAACTGCAAAGGAAGTTAAAAAGTTCTTCAGATTCCTACCTGTTTGTTCCCAAAAAGAAAAGAATTGCTTTATGGCCATAAAGCAAGGAGTCTGATCATAAGGGCTGTGAAAGTATATATGCTGTACTTGGGCTGCTTTTCCCTTTATTTAGTTTAAGTAAGTAAGCTTTGAAATAAGTGTTGAAGGATCAGGAAGGAGTCTTAAAATAGCAGCAGTGAAGAAGTGAGAAGATCATTAAGTTCTCTTTTTTCCTTCCCATCAGACATTTCTCTTTTTGCCTATGCACATTCCTTTCCTTCCATTTAAGGCAGGTGACCATTCTTCGGGTCAGATTATCTGTCTGGTGACATGGGTAGGCGGCATTTGTGCAGTTTCTGATGATAAGAGATGTTTGTTCTGCAACACTGTTTAAGCAATTATTTGATCCCAATTGATTTGTTCTAATGCTGGCATGCACTGTTATTTTATGACTTGAGCTCACATCAGTATTATGATACCTCATTCTTCATATGGTGGTTGATAAGGAATAAACCTCAGTAACATTTCTTCCTACTGATTTTCTTTTGTGTCTGTGTGCTTAGAATGAGAAATAAAGAGTGAACAACTGATCAAAAGTCAAAAGCTTTTGTTCTGTGGGTACAAGCACTCACATAGGGGATTAGAGACCACTGTTGTCTTGTATGTACTTATATCAAATCCATTCCTGAAGGCCTCCACTATTTCTTTAGGTAACATTAGTTTATAAATGGTTTAGACCTAGGAAATACAGGTCAGTTTGAAGAGTTACCCAAAGAACAAACTTATTTATTTAAAGAAATTAAAGATGTAATCCTTGTTTTTTTGTTTTGTCTCAATACTATCATTATTTGTAGATGTCTAACTGTGTATTGGCTAAATCTTTGGGTATATTATATGAGCTTTGGAATCTACACTTGACTCTGTCTGCAAGTATTTCCTTAGCATACTGAGTACTGCAAATAATTACTTTTTATTAGACCAAATAAATCATAGTTGAAGGTTTGCTCTTTTATATACAGTCTCTTGCATTTCAAGATTGTAAATGTTCGTATCAGATTTATTTTGCATAATAAAAATAATGGTTTAATTTGCCATCTCCCTGTAGATTACATTTATTCACTTATTTTAATAAAGTATAGCTTTTCGAAGTGCGTCATTCTGTAGGTTCAAAAAACGTACCATCTTTTTTTCTCCTTTCAGATTTATCCAAGAACAGACTAACTGAGGTTCCTGTGGAGTTGTGCCATTTTGTGTCACTGGAAACACTAAATCTATACCACAATTGTATTAAAAATATACCAGATGCCATAGTAAACTTGCAAATGCTAACTTATTTAAATTTGAGGTAAGTTAAACTTTGCCACTTTTTTTGTTTGCAAATGTGTAAAACTTTTGTTGTCTGCACTTTATATGTTTCTGGAACAAGTGACTACCTTTTTCATTTTACTGAAAACAGTAATGCAGAAGCTCATTGGCTGTAGATACAGCTCTGTGTGAAGGCATTTTGAAGGCCAAAATGTAAAGCTAATTATTAAGAGAAAGACCAAGAAATACTAATCCATTTCTTTCCCATATTCTTCTAACAAATTCAGAATGCTAATCACGTCAGCACAGTTGGATTCTTATAATTCACTTCTCACAACAAATTTTGTAAAACTTAACATACATTTTGTACTTAAAAAGATGAAGAGACGGACACAGAAGATTTATATTTTTATCCATGGGGAATAGAATGGAAAAGCATGATACTTTATCACTAAGGTTTGGTCTTATGCAATAAATATACTTACTACCTATTTTAGGAGGAAATGGCCAAGAATTAGATACCTTCGTCTCCTTTCAATGAAAAGTCTGTGTGAACACTAGTCAGTATAGAGAATTGCTACTGATGAAAGTGCAGGTGAACACATGTGCTTTTAATGGAGGGCATGTGAGCCCTTTTTCAGCTGGAGCAAGGTGTGGAGGTTTCTTTGCAATTAATAATGTAAAAACTGTAGTAGTAAAATATAATAATCTGATCTTTGTGAGAATGAGGTTTGAGCAGATGGTGAAGTGGCTCTTGGTCCTTTAAATTCAAGGTATGAAGGTTTGATCATCAGTTTTATCAACACTGAGGATCTTTCTCAAGCCTTCCTGTATTATTACTGTACTGCAGTTTTGACCACTGTGGAATACTGTTTTGGCTCTAAAAATTGAAATGAAATAGTGTGTCCTGAGTATCTGCACACATACAAGGAATAGACTTGAAATTTTGCATTAGTGTTTGTTAGATATACATAAAGAAATTGAGACTGAATTGTTAATTTTACAGAAAATATTTTGGTAAATTTAGGAATTAGAATTAACCCAGAACTCAAAATCATGAACCAGTGACTCAGTGTAGTGATAGAATTTGTGTGAGTCATCCCCAAACCATAATAGTTAGATTTTACATTACATCTGACAGTAAATTGGACAAAATATAAGGAAATTTTTCAAGTTCTATAAAGTAAGGTCACTTTCCTCAGTTTAAAATCCCCTCCTCATTTGGATGTGCCCTTCCTCCAGATTAGTTACACATAGTAAACAGGTTAAAGAAGGAAATATAGCCTTGACTTTCTAACTGTGTTCCTTCTTGGCAAGAAATTCATTATAGATTTAGAATGCAATGCATATTTTTCTGCCTGTCACCAGCAGAGCCCATATGTTAAATAGTTTTAGAAAGTGATGCCAAGAGATACATAGTGTCTTTGGGCCTTGGTTGATACTGTTCATGTTTTATCTAAAGAACTTCCTTTTAAACTAACGATGATTTATTACTCACTTGCCCTGGTGATGTACTATTCCTTCTCTCTTAGTGGATTGCTTCTGAGTTCTGTAGAGCTTAAAAATTGTTTTGACGTGCTTCTTGTGTGTGTCTGATATGCTGATCTGTGGCATAGTGTAACTAGTTAGAGTCTAGACTTCCTATGCTGGAGTTGTTTAAAACTTAAAAAAATATTTCTACGTAATTTTTAGAAAAAGTTGTGTCTTCAGCATCTGTAAAGGCACTAGAATTAAGAAACTTGGCTCCAGAATAAGCATTGAATTTTTTTTCAACTACTGCTGGTTAATAATTGGATTTCTCATTTTTAATGTCTTTGGGTTTGTTATTTGATATTTATCTGTTTCCTGGCTTGTGCAACAGAGATATGATGATAGTTTGCTATGTAAAATGTTTTGAGACTTTTGTGTGGAGCATGAATATGCATCTTTATATGCAACTTTGTAGTATACTGCTGGGTTGGCAGTTGAAACTTGTGCAATTTTGATTTTTGTTTGCTTTTGTTTCACTTCAGTGTTTCTTACTGAAACTACACAGGAAAATTTTTGCCATGTGTTTTCAGAGTTCAAACAAACACCTTTGCTTTCTGAAACCTTAACAGTCAAGCAGAAGCTGATTAAAATGGTTTATACTATGGTGCCACTTTTAAGTTACTGTTCATTGTTTTGCTACAAGTTAATACTCATAAGAAAGAACAAGTATTTTAAAAACCTTTAAATATTCTGTGACAAAGTAGAAAATATGTTATTCTGATGAGCATGAAGTTTCTTCTGGAAATTGAGCCACAAATCACTATTTTTAATCATGTGGTGATCACAAAGGGTCATGACATTTGCCATCTATTACATTTGTCATGTTTTAGCTTATGAATCTTGCAAAGAAATGAACCATTGATAGTCCCAGAATTTTTTTGCTGTACTTAACTGGGTTAATATCATAGAACCATAGAACAAGAAGTATCAAGTAATCTCCAGTTATAAATGTACTTTAAAGGAATTGAGAAAATAACCATTTTGTCTGTAATTTATATATCTGTCTTTTAGTTGGAACAAAAGGCATCTATTTTAATGGCACATAAAACCACAAGAATGTTTAAATACTTGCAAAATACTGTCTCAGTTGACTTTCCGATATTCATTAGGAGGGGAAACGGCTGTTCTTGGTGAAAAACAGATTTGTTACAATATTGTTAAACTGATACAGTGCATTTTTTCTAGAGTGGTGAAGTCCACAGTGTCATTTAGTCAATAAAATTCAGGCATTTCTGATGTGCAAGTGTTTTCTTAATGATTGGCATTTTAAAAGTTAAATTTTATCTGCTTAAAATCTGACCCATGAAAATGAAGAAATTTTGCAACTCTCAGACTTTATGTGAGCGTACAGTAGAACATCACTGATGGTTTTAATGTTTTGTTTTGTTTTGTTGCAGTCGAAATCAGCTTTCTTCTTTGCCAGCTTGCCTGTGTGGTCTTCCTCTAAAAGTCTTAATTGCAAGTAACAATAAGCTAGGTTCCCTTCCAGAAGAGATAGGTCAGCTAAAACAGTTAATGGAATTGGTATGTTACTGATCTTTTTGTTTTTACTTTTTGTTTTGACTTCTTTTGTACTTAAATAGAAACAAAAAAAATCACTTTGCACATATATTTGATCAAGTGTTTAATACTATAATGCAGGTTGAAAGACTAAATTTTTTTCAAGTGTTGGGTAGTAACACAATAATAGTTTCCTTTATATTCTTTTGAGACTCTTTTAAACAACATCAATGCCCTTGGTTCATTCAAAACTCAGCTTCAAAGCTCATGGTCTTTACCAGTTTTGCTCACCCCTGCTCTGGCTCCCTGTTTCACTGTATCAAGTTCAAAAGTTCTGGCATCAAACTCTGCAAGGCTGTAGCCCTTCTTTAGCACCCTCCCCTCCTGCTTCCCTTTTGTCTGTTACTACTCTCTGCTTACTCTATTGCATTCCACTCCTGATACTGGTCTTATCAGTCTATTTTCATTTTACTTCGCTACATTTGTCATTTAACCTTTCTCTCCTGGAACACCCATCTAAACAGATCTCTGAAGTTATATTCCTCTTGTTTTCAAAACTGTCCAGATGAATACTGTTTCTACAAGCAGTAGATCATCTGTAATAGATCATCCACTCAATGACAATATCTGAAAAAGTAGAAAAATTATTTGGTACTATAAATAAAAAATAAGTTTAATTGCACATGCTTTTTAAAATTTATGTGTGGAAAATATATATAAGATAATGCTTCCCTTTCTTTATCTTCCTCTTCTATAGGAAGACTGAGACTGAATTCTTTATGGCATATGGTTTATGTCATCTGGTTATTTCTATTCATCTTGGCCTTTTGAGATATAAATTGACAGATAAACTACATTTTGACACTGCTAATTTATGCATAGTAAAACAATGACTTTTGAACTTTCTTCCAACTGCTTCTATCTCCTTTGACACCATTTATCATGCATGTCCTTTCTGTACCTGAAAGTACCTGCTTATCATACTATTCTTTTTATAATACTTGTTCCTCCATTAAATTGTGTTGCAGAAATTTAGCTAATCTTGCTCTAGGCTCCAGTCCTGCTATTGATTCTCCATATGTGAAGTGGCAAGGGGAAGGGGCTTTTTTGTTCTAGTGTTCTTGAATGGCATTCTGTGGTATCAGTCGTCTGTTACAGATTACAATTGATCGGGCTCTTGGTGAGCATGGATGGGTGGTTACCTTTTCCTTTCTGGTTTATGCCTGAGCTAAAGACTAGCAAGTTGGTTTTGTTTGCTGAGCATTATTAATCTATCTTATCAATTAGTTTGAATTTTTCTCTGTGTGTGATGGGTTTAGTAAGGTTACAAGAATAGTTCTGAATTAATCTTAAAAGGAAAAACATGTTAGGCTATAGCGTTGTTTTTGTTGTACTTAAAATAGATACAATAAAAGATGATGGTTCCAGATTTATAAATAAAGTTAAATTTAGTAAAAAATCAGTTTAAAATTAGTAACAAAATTTAGTAAAAAATTAAAAGCTTGAAAATCAATGTAGATTATACTCAAAGCAGATGGGGTTTGTTTAGTTCAAACATAAGTTTAAATTCTGGAATACTGGAATTTCATGTTGCTTTCCACTTACAGTATAGTATCTGGTGTTACTCTTTCTCAAGAAGAACACAACAATTCCTGCTCTAACAATATTTCAAATGAGAGGGTCTAACAACATGTCACTTGGTAGACTGGAAGATTTATGAAAACTGAAAAAGTTCTGATGCTTGTTCTTTGTGATTAGAAAGTGGCAAGGGGGGTAGTTCAGTAACAAGGTTTTGTTAAATTGAGCATGATTCTGCTCAGTTGAGATGACCTTATTACTTAGTTTGATGCCACCATGTGTGTTTGGTACATTTCTAGTGAAGTGATTGCACTGTTTAGCTGGAAATGACATAACTGTGATGTATTGGGAAAAGCAAATAGTGGTAGGATTGAGAGTAGAGATCTCTGTTGGCATGTATAATATAATGCAGTTTAGATAATAAGATGATCATTGTTCTGGAATGAGTAAAAGAAAACATAAATAAACAAACAAAAAAGATTAAGTCATACTGCAGTTGTTGCACGAAAAATTCAGCTGTGAGAGAGCAGTGCCAGCCTGAATAGCGGAGGATTCAAGCAGAACCATTTCCCAACCCTCTGGCAGAGAATAGTGCTGTTTTAATACTTACACTGTGCTGGTGTTGAGCTGGGCCAGGGGTTGATCCCAAGATGCCACCTGGCTACAGTGCTTGTATTAATAGGACTTTTCCAAGCAACCTCAGGTTCCCTAAACATTTCACAAGCTGCATGCAGTAAGTGTATGCATAGTAAATGGATTTTTTTTATCTAACTTTTTTAACAAAATTTACCTCTATAGCCACTGTAAAGCGATATAAATATAATTTGCTGGAAATTAGATCAGATCTTTCCAACAAACATTGCATTTTCCCACTCTCCTCCAAAATGGAACAGGTAATTCTTTTTCTATTACATGTATGTAATTTATATAAATTTTGTGGCATAGAGTGACTTAGATATTACATGCAGAAAATTTTCAGGTCTTCTTTTAATTTCTAGGGTTCTGACAGCTAACTTACAAGCACCAGAGTAACATAAATTATTCTCCCTGCAGAACACGTTGCAATTAATTGCAAAATTTGGTTGGGATATTTACTTTTATTTGCAGCTCATTATCTCACTCATACATCTCCTGTCAGCCAGGAGGATGAGTGCAAAATTAGTGTGAAGATAATCTGAAACCTACTTTCTGTCAAGGAAAAGTAATTAGGCAGAGATGGCTCAGTAACTGTAACTAGAACTATCAGCTGTATAGTAAAATTCTGGTCTCCATCCTATCAGGCAGTATTGCATTGCTGCCTTCCTCAGATAATGGTTCCCTCCATCTCTGGGATGCTCCTGTCTCACGTTGGAAGCCTTTAAATCTCTCAGCTAGGATTTATGTCCTTTACCTCATTCATATAATCAGCCTGACTGTGCAGGACCTGCTGTTGCTTGAGAAGGTCTATGTGCACGTGTACTATGGAGCTGCTTTTTACTGTTCAGTATGGCTTATATGTCACAAACTCTCTGAATCCACATGGTTTTTTAGGAATAACAGCTCAGTCAGGAGGCTCAAGTTTAAAATTAATTTAAGGAGGAAGTTTGTCCTAATTTGAATGGTTTGGATAAACTCCCTCTGAGTGTGTGTGTGAATAAGTATGTTTATATAGACTCAGAGTTCTGTATTGTTTTTTCTGTTTATATTACTGAATACGTATGCTGAATTTGATTGGTTTAAGACCATTTAAACTTCACTGTAAACAAAGGAAAAAAGCTGATAATTTTAATTTCCTTTCATGCCACTGAGCTTCATGCCACAGAAATGAATGTTAAATTTAAGTATGCCTTACATTTCTCTGATTTTGAGAAATTGTCTTGTCATGGCAGGACATGACCTAACTGGTAAGAACAAAGCAGAATTAATGTAAGTCTGACCTTAGCAAATACTAACCCCTCAGAATGTGAGTAGGTGTTTGAACTTCAGTTGCCTGCAGATGTCCATGAAGCAAACTCCTGGTTGTATAGTTCCTTAAAAAATTATTAGCTTGAAAATGATAAGCGTTTGACTCTGACAGTATTGCATCCATTATTGGCGAAGTAAGTGGGAAAGGTAAACACTCTCTCTGTCACCTACACACTCATGAAGCCTAATAATAGTCAAGAACATAACTAGGAATAATGTTACAGGTCTTTGTTTTCCGTGGCTATTCAAACAAAGTAATGAAAAAGGCAAGTTGGGCTGCAGTGTTTAGTAGGATAAAGGATACTACTGTCTCTAGAGATCTTGTGAATGCTGACATGCTGTCACAACAGATCAGTCTTATTAAGGATGTTTTGAAAGGCTGTAAGTGGAAGTGGACTTTGTTTTTGAGGCTACACTCTGCCAGGTTTTTTTTTTTTTTTTTTTTGTGTTTCCTTTACAATTCTCTGTCTCTTTCCCTGACTTGTTCTGATGTGTGGGCCTAAGTGCACTTGGTCTAGAGTTTCTTTGCCACAAGGTGACTTTAAATTCTGTGCTCTAAAAATCAGTTATCTAATTAAGAAGTCATTTAAACTGTGTAAATTAAAAATAGGACAGTAGAGCTTCAAAAATAAATGATCTGGGAACAGTGCAATTAAGCAAACTTTGTGGCAAAAAATGCACTCATTAGCTGGGATTTTTAATTTCCTTGTCTAAAAGCTACAATAATTTCCTCATTGTGTTTTGAGAAGGGAAGGAAGCCTTGGCAAAAGTGAGATTCTGTTACAAGAAGAAACTTGTCTGATACAGGGAGCAGCATTACTAAATCACATTTTGCTATTACTATAATTTTTTAGGCTGGAAGATAGAGAGTTAATGCAATGCTTTTGACTAGTATTAAAGCAAGTGTCTTCAAAGAGATTACTTAGAAATCTGACTCACTTTTACAACTTTTGTAGTCCCAGATACTTTATAAATCAATTTGAAACAGTCAAGAGAGTAGGTGTATTCCATCGACTATTCAGAAAAAATTTGTCATGACCCCACTTAGCTTTCATACTATGAAATACTGTTTCCTTCTTTTAATACAGAAATGAAAGCATAATTGGGACATGACTCAAATTTACAGGTTGCCTTAGATGTAAGAAGAGGTTTAAATGTCCATTTGGCAGCAAAAATGATAGCCCTTATCTGACAACTGTCTAATTTTAGACTGACTTAATCCAAGAAATTGATTTCGTACACATTCATAGCAGTTTCTTGTTAGAAATAGTGTTAAAGTATCATATTTATTACAGTAATACCACTGTATATAAACTTCTTGTTTGAAGTTGTGCTCAGTATTGCCAGATCCTACACTTTCAACTCAACTTTACAAAAGTTGCTCCTTTAGGAATGCTGAAATGAGGATGGATGCCAATTTCATCCAGATTATTAAACCACTTGTCATCAAAATCCGACCTGCTTAGAACCTGTCTAGGCAGTTAAGAAGTACATTTTACAATGAATAAGATGTTGAATATCTGTATGATGCTTAACAAGATTCATCCTATTTTATTATGACCTATTTATTATGACCTGCATGCTGTGAGGATCAAATATATGCCTTTACTGAACATCATTACAGAATGCTATTGCTGATTATTATCATCATCATTATTATTATATTTTGCTTAAATATTCCCTCTAGAGGAACAAAAACCTTTTTAAAAACTCAGATCCACATACTAGCAGTTTTCCATTTCATCCTAATGCATTTGGTTATATAACCATGGTATCGAATTCTTCATGTGAAGAAATGAACAAAAAAGTAGAACACCTTAAGCAAATGGTTTTGAATGTTTCTACACAAATTAAGTTAACTTTCAGAATTAACCTGTCCTTCAAATAAGAATTTGCTCTGGTTTTAGGTAATGTGTAAACATTTTCCCATGTGTCTTGTTTTACATTGTGACAACAGGACATAGATTGTTGCATGTTTTAAGGTTAATAAGATGTTACAATGGTAATGGCAACTTGGCTACATTTGTATTATTAAACATCTAGGAGCTGAAATTTAATTTGTTATTACTGTTTTGTTCTAGGATGTCAGCTGTAATGAAATCACAGCTTTGCCACAGCAGATAGGACAGCTGAAGTCTTTAAAAGAACTGAATGTTAGAAGAAATTACCTCGAAGTTTTACCCCAAGGTAAAAGCAAATGAACAAAAAAATACCTTTACAGTAGCTCTTTTTAGTAGCATTTTGGAAGTATTTTTTACTCATATTAGTAAATAGGACTAAAAACTAGTAATTACTTTGTGTTCGAAATTATTCCATTTGAGTTTGCAAAATAGAACATTGTGGTATTCACTGAAGAACAGTGTCTGATGTTTTTTTAGTATCTTTATGATTCTATACATCTTTTAAGTTACACAGGCATCTGCATGCAATATGGGAACTGTCAACAGAGTTTCAGGAAAAAGATATTTCAAAGTATTGGTTTTAATATTTATTAACACTTACATAATAATAACAACACTCTTTTCATTTCCCAGAATTGAATGGAGTAAATGTTGATCTTATTCCTCCCTGAGTGTGTATTTTTCCTGAATGCAAAAAAAGTGCTTTATACAGAAATATTATTTTATGGCAAAAATAAAACCAGATATAACACCTTTTCTCTTTTTTGTTGCTTTTAGAACTAGTGCATCTTCCCTTGGTAAAGTTTGACTTTTCCTGCAATAAAGTGCTTGTGATTCCAATTTGTTTTAGAAAGATGATGCAGTTACAAGTATTATTGCTTGAGAATAATCCTTTGCAATCTCCACCAGCACAAGTAAGTAATAGCTATGATTTAAATTGTGCCTTAATATTGGGGGGATGATAGCAAATTATAGACTATAAAATGTCACCTTCTGCAATTGCGGGCTTCTGAATTTCAATCGTCACAGACATTATTTTTTGGCACTTAAATAGGAAATATCTAAATAAGACATGGAAAATATCCTATGTTCTCTGTATGAATCTGTGCACTCCTTGAACCAACACACATCTGGAAGATTTCCATTCTGTCAGCTACTTGTTTATTTTTATCATTCCTATCTGCATATGAAACCTAATGTCAGAATAGGTATATAATTTTGAAAAAGGGAAGTGAAAAATCTGGATAATTTTTTTCTCTGTTAAGAAGAATCCAGTTCTAGGAGGTTCTGCAGTGATTTACTATTAACTTAAAAGTATGCAGATGGTCTAGAACATAAATGATGTGAAATTTATTTAACTTTATAATGTGAGTTTATAGATTGTGATACACAAAGAAATCAAGCTCCTGTTCTGAACTCTAGGCCACGCTGAGTAAGAATGATAATAAATGAATGGAACCTGTGCTCTGCATCTCTGAAAGCTACAATTGTTCTAAATTAACAGCTGTTGAAATACTGAAGAATTTTTATTATATTGGAGAAATGGTTTTCATTCAATAATGATGCTGCTTTAAAATTAAAAAATAACAGAGCAAGCTGAAGTGTGCACTTTAAGAAAAAAAAATCTTAAAATGCAGGTGAAATCCATCATAAGTATGCTTAGACCCTAGCAAAAATGATGTGACCAAGAATATAAAGGACACACTAAGTAATTAAATGTCAATATTAACTAATTTGGAAAATAATGATTCAATTTATAGTTAGCAATAGGCTGCACCATATATTTTACTGTAACTTTTTTTAATTAAAAGCTCATTTGAATTTTTTTTTATTAGACTACATTATTTTCTTGTTTTCTGTCTTTATCTCTGAGGGTATTTTTACTGGTATACACAAATAATTGATTAGGTAATTGAAGTACTTAGTCATTTAAAAAATAATAAAATCCATTTTTCTTTATGTGATATTTATTGTAATAATAGTATTTGGTTTTCAGGGAGATTTAGGCTAAATGACATTTGAAATAAATTATTTTTTTCATTCTAGCCATAAATCTAACTTTTTTTTCTTATCTAACAGATTTGTACAAAGGGTAAGGTGCATATATTCAAATATCTGACTGTACAAGCTTGTCAGATTAAAACAGCAGACTCACTGTATCTTAATGCCATAGAACCACAGCATTTGCCACAACCTGTGGAAGAGAGGTATGTATGAAAGTCTCACCTAGTTTTTCCATGTAACACTTATAAACAAAGTGAAATAATATTTATCTTTAGATTCACAGGCTTTGTTTCTTTAGATGCTGTTTAGAGAGTGCTTTTCTGAACAGAGATTTGTTTTACTTTGTTTTAATTTAAATTAGTTTGCTTTTATTCTAATGAAGTCCCTCTAAGAGCTTAGGAAAAAAATTATTAATCAGTTCTAATTGAAGTTAGCAGCATGTTGGTTAAGAGTTTAAAAGTGAAATCTTAGTTTAAATCTAACCTCTTACTAGTGGCCTCCTTTCATATATTGAAAATAATTCAGGTGGTAGTAACATTGGATGTTCAAACTTTCATAAAGTAAAGTAAACCTATTAGCCCACTAAATAAATTTTAATTTCTTGTGGTGTTTTATGACTTAAGTGTTGTTGTACATTTGTGACATAATTTTTAATTCATCTGAAGTCTTATGCATCAAGCAAAGAGAACTGCATGAATGTTGAGATGCTTTTAAAGTGAAACATGCTATCTGTTAGCAAAAAGACAAAAATCTTTCGTGTCTTGCATCAAATATCTAGGAAATACCATCTTGTACCATGGTTTAAGGACAGGAACTGGATATGAAGCAGCTTCTTTGTATGAGATTCTCCATAGCTAGTTGGAAATGATCTTTCAACTAGCTCTTTTTTTGCTATGGGCAGTGTAATATAACCAATCAGAGAAAGTATGATATTTTTGGAGAGAAGGACTCAATAAAAACAAAGGGTTGATGTGAATAATAATAGAGATGTGGATTCTAAAACCCTGGGGGGAAAAAACAAGAGCTGTTATGCAATCTCCCTTTCAGTCATCTGAAATTCAAACAAATTCTTTGAAAAAAACAAATTGTTTTTCTCCATGTACCTTTGGAGACATATTTGTGAATTTCTATCAGATAAATGTCAAGGGTGAGAAGAATCCAGATTGAAGAGTTGGTTTTCCATTTGGGAAACATCTCTTGGTTTTCTCTTTTGTTCTCTTAGTATATGAGAAAATTGACAGGAACGTCATATCCTGTATGATCATAGTGGAGATCACAGGTTAGGGTAAGGGGATAGTACAGAGTAGATATCAGTTGGTAACTAGCAGCCTAATGCTCTATCACATAATAATTACCAAACTTTCATTTTAGAGCATAACTTTATACTTCTAATGAAAAATATAACCCAGTTAAGATTTCAATAGGCAGTTGCTACAAAAAAGTCCTTAGTGTTTACTGGTAAGAGGTACTTTAAGATTAGGATGAATTAATCAGATACTTTATTCATGTGAAGACTCATAAAACTCCTTTTTTAAATTGCTGTATCAATCTGAATTCAATAGTACAGCTACCAGGATAGCAAATGAAGAGATAATAGAGTATACTTTAAAAAAAGTTAGGTGATGAGAGTATTGTATTTAATAGTGTACTTCAAAATGAGTAGAGGGTATATCAGGTAATGAAACCAGAAGAGAGAGCAGTTACCATTATTTATAGTAATTTTCTTAAAAACCTAAATTTCAGAGTCTATTTTAAAGCACTGAAAAGAGGTTTTTGTGTTAATAATTACTCTGAGCCGCAGGGAGATATTTTTAATGGATCAATGGTTACAATTAAATCAGTTGACTTCAGTTTGAGTTCAGCTATTTTGGTTGCTTCTCCCACAGTAAATTGCTTCAGTTGGACTCCTGTGCTACTTAGCTAGTAACTAAGCATTTTAGCCTAGTGTATAGGCAAAAGTAAGCTTATAGCAGATGATTTCTGTTGTTTTCATTAATCCTTAGATTAACCAACCATTCCATCTGATCTGTTTTACTACAACCAGACTGTAAATTTTTAGTTTTTAACTGTACCAGGCTATTTCACCCTCAACCAGTAAGACTGGTTAGAAATTTGCTCTGATTTAAGTGAAACAAGGACAGAATCTGAACATAAATGCTATGTTAGCTTTTTACCAATTTTTTTTTTTTTTTAAATTACACATCTAGTATTGATGACATCTACCCGAGTAAAAAGGACTCAGATTCAGGTGTGGGTAGTGATAATGGTGATAAACGTTTGTCAGCAACAGAGGTAAGTTACTTGCTCTTTGTATCCAGCTCCCCTTCCAGCACTTGTATTTTGACTATATCTTTAATTAGGGTAAAAATTTGAATAGATTTTTAACCATAAAAACCCTACAATCATATCCTTGACATAAATTTCTCACTAAGACATGGCTGAAACAAGGATAAAAGGAGACTGGGATATTTTAAATTCTTTTTGACTGTACGCTGTCCAGAGAGGGAAGTTAGATACATGCTTCCAAGTGGTCAACAACCTACCAATAGTGAAAATTCACTACAGTTCTCAGGCAGTTTACATAATCTAGAGAATGAGAACCAAACCAAATTCTACATCTACTGTTTTTAGTGAAGTAAATATGCCAACAGGTTCCTGTGGGGAATTAATAGTGCCCTGTCCCAATATGTTCTGTGATGGTGTTATGGCAGATTGCTGTTGTGCAGGAACTTTAGAAACTTTGCATATCCTGATGCATTTACATGCTCTGGCGGTTAGGCAGTGCTGGAAATAAACCTTCAGACTCTTTTATGAACTATGTTGTCCAACTGAGAAAAGAGAAAGAATACCTTTGTGGGATTAGTGTTATCCGAAGCAGTTAGAACTGACTTTCCTAGACCTTTTTTTCTGAGGCTCTACTCAGCTGAACAGGGCACTAAATCAAATTAGAGTTGAACTGAATAAATAATGATAAGTAAATAATTACCAATATAATTCAGTAATGAACTTTCTGAAATGTACAGTAACAGAATTTGTGGTCTGACCTTATGGGAAATACTTAGGTCACAATAGAAGTATGACCTTCTCACTACTTAAAATAATTTTACACTGATTCTTTAGTGTTTCTCTCCTCATTTAAGGAAAAGGGATTCTGTCACTTTTGAAACAAATGTATAGAGAATCAAGCTTGTGTACTGAATTTTTAGTTACTAAAAAGCAAATTGAACATGAATCCAGTTACACACTGATTGGTCTATTAAATACAATAGCATTTAAAAAAATCAAACATGGAGATTTCCAAGTATTTGGGCAAGTTTCTTGCTAGGTGGAAGTGAAGCAGAGTTGTAATGATTTCTAGCCAAACCTCTAACGGTTTCCCTCTAGCTGTAAGAACATGCAGTCCATTCAGAGACATTTACAAACTGTTTTGCCATTCTTACACTTCCGAAGCTCACTTAGCTTGTTAATAGAACTATTATTCCAGAATTTCCTCTTCAACTATAAGTATCACCATTAGAAAATAGATCATATCACCTGTAATCAAAATGTAGCAATTTAAATGCTGCAAAAAATATTTTAAAGACACTTAACAGTGAACCAATACATTTTTAGTAGCACAGAGGGGTTTTTTTTTTGTATGAGAACTGTTTACTCATCCCATCCCTGCCTGACTACTGCTCTGCTATTAAGGAGAGGTAGATGCTGAGATCAGTAATCCCAGATGTGTTTGGAAATAAATTTACAACTCACTTTCCTTCTGATGAGATCTTTAATACCTTTGTAGCACATGAGAATTGTGCAAGAAATATTAGCATGTTGCAAATACAGATTCACATACATTGCCAGTTACAGTCAGAAAGCTACATACCAAATGAAAAATAAACATTGAATGATCAGTCATAAAATGATCAGTAAAACACATCTGGGGGTTTTCATGAATACAAATTACCATTTAGTCTGAAGGGCAGTGGCTATTGAGTTCCCAGTCTTTTACAGGAAATACTACAATGTCATTTTGCATGTGTGTAACTTAAAAACAGTAACTTAAATTAATCAGTTGTTTGACTACTAATGTATTTTTTAGGAAGCTTGTAAATTGACTTTGGCTGAATACACCTAGGAGGGAATACTAGTTATATATGTCTGTCTGATTTGGTAGAGTCATTTCAGCATCCATTTTCAAAGCTATAATCATCTTGGGCATTTCAGGTGAAAGATATCTTGTAGTGTTGCTGTCAAATTGATCACAGCAACTTGAAGTCATTGTCTGCTTTAAGGTAGTGTACTCCTCTACTTCATCTTTTAGGAAGAGTGTAGCATTTTGATTCCTTTTCAACCTTACTTTGACCTTATTTTTTTCTTTTGTTGAAATTCATTAGAAGGAGAGGGTCCTTGCTAAGATCCAGATGGTGTCCGTGCTTTATTTCCCATATAAGTGATGCATTAGTACCCACAGGAATTGTATGAACATTCTGTCAAAGTGCATCTTCTGAATTCTGTGTTAGACTAATGTTAGGTATTTTTTGATTCTCATATGTCTATTGTCTTCTGTTGCTAGCTGAATAAAAAATAAAACTGTGAACAAAGGAAGTGAGATACAGTTTTTCACGTGTGAAGGAGCAATACTTTTGTATTATTGCAGGCTGCTTTGGATAGTTTCTGCTTCAGAGTATACTGGCAGGAAACACCTGGAAAATCATTTGCAGAATTCTGTAGGTCTTGAAAGTGAGACGTAGCCTGCTAAAGGAATAATTTTTTGTTTCCAAACTGAATGACCCATGGCTTTTTTTATACCAACACTCAAAAATATTTTTCTTGAAGTGTGTATTACTCTGCTGACAAAAAAAATTTACATGTTTTAGTATTCAGAACTTCTAATAGTGTGTATAGGAACATTTTACTGTACTATTTTCAAATGATAGTTGAAAAATTAACAAAACATGACTTTCATCTAGAATAACTAAATTTAATGCTTAAATGTCACAGAAGATGCAGGCTGAAAGGCAGAGAAGGAACTTCACTGTAACATTAGTTGTCTGAATGAATTTATGCCGTGCATGTCTTTTTTTTTTTTTTCAAGCTGTTGGATTGTCATTGCTTCAGATCTAAAAGAACAGTGACTTTTGAGCTTAGAATACTTGGAGCATGGTTTGTTTCTTTTCTGTGTGAGATACTAAATTGTTTGATTTTAAAATATAATTATTTTTAAATTTAGAATTTATTTTGAAAATGCCTTATGAAGTCTCTGAACATACTTCTGAAACATTTTTCCCTTAAAGAAGAAGAATACAGCCAGTGAATTCATAGAGTTAATAATGTGCAGCTTATAAGGAAGAACATTCATGGTTGTCCATGTTTACAAAATGTTTTAATTCCAAGGTATTCTGGGGAAATAGGAATAAGCACATGTATCTTTGCAGTTTTTAGGAACAAGGTAGATTTGCTCCATCCTTTATCACAAACCTTAGATTCAGGATTTAAACAAATATTTTCTACCTGGTATGTAAACATATAAAGGTAGCAAGAATGGCATATTTCTACTAGAAGCTAGCAACTATGGAATTAAATAACTCACTGTAACTCACTGTATGTAACACTCTCCCATTCCATTGGAGGTTTTTGTTAAAATGGTCTGAGCTGATAACATCGGGAATATTATTTCCTTAAAATGTATATTCTTAAGGGATATGGAACAAACTGCTATATATGTATTATAACAGTTATAATTACAGAATGCATGTATGGATTATTTATGTGCAAAGTAACAAGTTACAGAAATAGAGCGTTTAAAGAATGAGTAACACCTGTGGGTTTTTGGGAAACACATTTGCAAAGCTCTGAGACAGTTGTTAGTGCTGGGTTCTCTCTCTTGGGAGAATTAAGAATAAAAATTTGACCTCTTCTGCAAACTGTGATTTTGCTCTAGTTCACCTCAGGAGAGAATATGAGCAGGTCCCATTAGAGCCAGGTCACTGCTGGCCCTGCAGAGCAGCAGAGCTTTGATGGCCTGGAACAGAAGTGAAGCCTAGTGTATCAGTGCTGCTTTGTGCAGGCACAAGTAAGTGTCTGTAAAGTCATGGACAGGATAGTCTTGTAGATAGAAGTAATGTGTTTTAATGTACCAACTAATACAGCTGAAAAAAAATGGATGAGCTTTTAAGCCAAACCAAGCTATTGTACTTGAAAGTCTATGCCTTTTTTTTTTTTTCCCCAGCTCTATCAATTAATATAATTAAAAATATTGCCTCGTCTGCAAAGTTCATCTTGCTCACTTTAAGGCATTCAGTTAACAAACTGCATGGTAAAGCAGGAAAGAAAGGTCTTGGAGGGAAAGAAAACAAAGACTGTGATAAGAGACTCAGTGTTTCTACAGACTTTGGTGGCTGCAAGGAGCCCCTATTTTCAGCTGGCCCAGGAAAGCACAGAGAGCAGCACAGTGCAGGAGTGTCACTGCAAGGAGAGGACTGGTGCAATGAGGGAGATAGGAAAAGAGGACAGATTAATTGTTCTGCTTGGCAAACCTGTGAGGATGTATTCAGCATGACTACAACTTCCTACAACAGGATTTGGTCATGTGCTTTGGTATCCTTTCCCATGTTAATTAGCAACTCTTTAGTGAGCACTCTTCTCAGGATGTACATTTTTATCAGTCTAGGTTTGGTTTGGAACTAGTGTTTCTCTTATTTTTTCCTAGCCATCTGATGAAGATAATGTCAGCTTTAATGTTCCAATGTCAGACATCATGGAAGAAGATCATATTATAAAGGAAGATTCAGGTCACCGTGCTAACTCAAGAAAAGGTTGGAACGTAAAAACCATGGCAGTTAAATACAGGGTTGTTGATTTCATGCCTACCTACCTACCCAGAAGGCTTTGAGCTTGCATATGCAGTTGTGTAAAACAGGGAAAGTGTACTACTTAAAAAATTTTAAAAATCTGAGTCCTTACATTAATTTTCCATAACAATTCCAATGAAGTTGTTACACTATCTCTCAAGAGTTAATAAGATCTGGTTTTGACTTGAGGGAAAAAAGTGAAAGTTGTTTTAAACCATGCTTCCCAACCAGTAATATCAATTTGCAATAATTTAACAAATGTACAATATCAGAGTCCATTCCTACAGTTGGACTTAGTGCATATATAAGGCTTTATTAGTCAGTCAGCTTTGCCTCTGGAAACAGGTAAAGCTCTTCAGATTTTGCGAGATGGTGTAATTTTAGCTACATTTTTTTAAGTAACTGATATTTTTCCAAATTATACTACCTACCAAACAATGTTTCTCTAAGTTCTGCACATACAAATGATAAACGCAGGAGGAAGTCAGCAAGTTGCATATGGAAACCACATAAATAGGAGGTCAACCTTTCCACAGTGTTACACACTAGGTTAAATGAACTTCGGTTGAGATATTTGTAGGAATTTAGGAGCATGCAAGGAGAGACAGTAAAAGTATTATATCCTACACTGTTTATTAGCAAACTGGAGAGGGTAAGTTGTAGGATCGTATCCCTGGAAATAGTATATGTAGGCAAGAGATTGGCATAGGCTCTGAATAATTTTGATAAGCATTTGACTCTTCATTACAGCATGATAACGCTGAAATTATATTCAACTGCAAGTCCCTGTCTGAGACATCTGAATGTCTTAAAAGACTCAGCAACTGTCTAGCTGTGTTCTTGTACCAGTATTGGCAAGACAGACTTGGTGTAGTTAAAAGCTGACTCTAAATGCCTGTTGTGGTGCTTTTGATAGACAACTGTATATGCCCAGGGTATTAATGTATTACAACTTTGAAATGAAGTGGCATCGCTCTTTACAATGCAAAGGTCTTACTTAACCTGATAGAAGTTTTTAATATGCTTTGAATTTAAACTTTGGTTTTGAGCTCTGTAATTTAATACAGTTAAATTATGTTGAGTAATGAACGTTGAGCTGAACCAGAAATCATTCTTCTTTCTTTTTTTATTGCTGTTACTAGTGGAATTCCATCAAGGATCTTCTCACCTGATTGTCAATGATAAGTCAAGAGAAACAGTAAACCAGTTCGATGAATCGGATACACTTACTTCTGAATTTATGAGTTACATGAAGGCAAGTTTGTGACAATTTTCACTACTTTCATAATTGCAGAGCAGACAGGAATGATGAACTGCATATATTTTAATGAGTAAGAGAGTGCAATTGATATTCATTGCTGTAAAAAGATACAGAAGGCAAAAATAAGCAGGTAGGTTTAAAATTATTACAATTAATTTAGGATATCAATTTACCCGTAACTCTTTCTAGTGTATGTAAGAGTTATTCTCTAACTATATTTAAGGCCTTAGGAAAAAAAGGCAAGTATGTTTCTTGTAACTTGCTTTATGTTTTGAATTGAGCAATTTTTGTATTTGTTATATTGCTAAAATGCAAGACAACTTTGTGCTAAATGTGGTTGCTAAAGTTTTGAAGTAGTGTTATGGTAGTAAAATACATTTTTTAAAATGTTTTAAATATTATAGTAAAAATTGAGAGATCTATCAAGACAAATTGTATCAAATCACCTTCTAGAATAAGTGCTGCATTTTTCTTATCTTATGATGTGTACCCTTCTTATGGGAAAAATCACATTCTTCATTCCTGTAAGGTGAAGAAAAATGAAAAAGAATGGCTTTATTCATTCTAGTAGGGATTGACACTGGGAAATGAGCCATCATTGGAGAATGTTAGAGAAGCTGGTACACTCCTCAGTGTCCCATATGGCAGAGTTGGATAGCATTTATTGGTACAGGGTGATGCAACTATGTGCCAAACATGACACAAGAGAGGATAAGCCTCTCTTTTCTGCTGTTGATTCTCTACAAGTACAAATGTACATTCATTCAGAGAACTTCTGTCTTTATTGGCAGCTGAACAAGTTGAGTATTCCTGCTTGTCTGAGTTGAAAGGGACAGTTGCAAAGCACCAAGTGGAAGCTTAAAAGAGAGTGTCAGGTTTTCAAATAAGTGAAGCTTCATAGTTATAGGTGTAGAAGCTCTGATTTATGCCTACATTGAATCCAAAATAACTGTCTGACTGATACGAAGTCTTACATGCAATTTTTGTTCTGATTTGTTCTTCTTTAAAAAAATGTTTCATGACTGTCAAAATTGTCAATTACAAATTCTGTTAATAAGTATGGGTGAAGTACGTGCTTGCCACTGTTTGCATAGTTGGAATTTCCTTGCTCTGTAAAGAAATCTGGCTGCAGTAGGAGGGAAAGTAGGAGGAGAGTTAGGGTCCTGCTTAATTGAAGCATTGTTTCTATGTACCAGAAAACCACAAACAGAGTCTGGGACATAGAATGAAGAATTCTTACACAGCTTGACTTTCTTTTTCCTATTAAAGGAGGGTAAGGGCTGTTAACCTCAATAAAATCTGAAGAGTGAATAGAAGATCTTGTAATCAGTATCTTAAAAGGGGGTACAGTAAAGAGTGGAGCAGAAGCGTTGAACTGCTTCAGCTAACCAACCTAAACTGTTACATAAATTAGGTCAGTGCAGAGTCTGAAAGCAAAATTTATCTGCCTACTTAATTGCAAAGTTCAGTTCTCATTATCACTTTTGTCTGCTCACAGAGCAGAGCAGCAGAGTGTGATGAATTATTAAGAATAGAAGAGGACACACAATGGCAAACAGATGAAATGTGAGTATTTTTTATGTATCTATAAATAATTAGCTGTGTCATTTAATTAGTTTGACTAGAACTGGTATTTCCTTGTCAGGTAATAATTTTGTAGACTTGGAGGCATGACAAATGCATAGCCTTTCACTTTGTGTGTTTTACATATTATTAATGAATAGCGTGGATGTTGTATTACAACTAATTAATTTGTACGCACCGATAATGCTGTAGTGTTTTTTGCCTATGTAGAATGCAAGCTTTTTTATCAGGTATTTTGATATTTAGGTTATTAAAGGTATTGGTAACAAAAGATTTTATCAGAATTTGTAAGATTTAAATTTAATGCACATTTAAAAAATCGGTTTAATTGGAAAACATCCCTCCATTTTTTTTCTTCTTTTGTCATAATTTTAACCATGGAGCAATCATTTACTCATAGATATTAATTCAAGAGTAGAACAAGTGAGTGTGAGTTGCTGGGGTGAATACATAAGAAAAGGGAATTTAACGTAACAGTGTTCTGTGAAGTTGTCACTTATCAGAACAGTGTAGTCCTATATGATGCAAAAACTAAAACTGAAGGAAGGAAAGAAGTAGTAACTTTCCAAAAGAGCCTTACTGGCAGAACTAATAGGAAATAATACTTCTAAACCCCAAAAAGAATTACCAGTGTTGAAAAGCAAAAGAAAGCAAGCTGGCCTTTAAAAAAAGTCATTGTATTTATGTTAATACTATTCACGTTAATACATGCGATGAAAGCAGTTAAGATTCAAATATCGGTAAATAAATTTTCAATTTTAGAAGACATTCTACTTAATTGAATGCTAAAAGTTTCAGTTCATCAAATTTGTTTGTTTATATATGTGTTAGGTTCAAGGAATTTGTTAAGGACAAAGTGTAGGAGAACTTTTTCAGAAGAGGCTCTTTCCATAAATTCAGCACATACTGGTGTGTAGAGAGGCTGTTTTTCCCTCTCTTTAGTGCTTGCATGCCAGTTGGGAGATGCAGCTCACAAACTGAAGTCCAGACTACCCTTGATAATTACTGTTATACATTTTCTTTGAATGCTTTTTTTTTTTTCTGTTATAGACTAAATTTATCGGAAGAACAAACTATTGATATAGCAATGATAGAACAACTAAGAGAAGCAGTAGATTTATTACAAGATTCCGACAGGTATGCTTACAATAGCTGATGTGTTAATATTTTAAAATTTTGTGAATTACTTTAGAGTACTCTCTTAACTGACAATTGATTAAATTCTCTGGAGTTTTGAAGCGCTTTGTTAGCATACCACTGTATACAGGATTGTTAAGAAGAACACTTGCATTCTCTTTCTGAGTATCTAGACAAGATTTCCAGTAAAATAAGCAGGATTTCAGGTTTAAGAGAAACCTAAAATTAGAGATGAGGACACCCCCTAACCGTTCATCTCATGTACACTACTGTGATATTCTGGAGTTTTGTCCAGGATTTTCACAGTCTTTTGGAGAGAGTATAAATTTTCCTCTTACTCAAGGTTGTTGTATTTTGTTGGAATGAGAAGGTCTTCTGACCCATGTTTATCGCAATTCAGTGGAGCACATAGAGGAGGTATCTGAATTAGTGGTGGAGTTTCTTTAGTCTTCTGAAATCCAAAGGAGAAAGAGGAGAGGCTGAGAAATCTGTTTAGACTTCCCCTGATGATAGAAGGCAAGATTTTATAATTTAAGTGTCTGTTTTAAGAGGCTGAAGTCAAGGTGGAATGACTCTGGGTTTGTGGCTAAGCAAAGGAGTAAGTATTTAAAAGAAAACAAATACTTGCCCTACTGGAAAAGTCTGACAATAGTGGTGTAAGTAATTCTGTCCAGATGCTTGCTATTGCTTTTCTTTGTGTAATCACCTTCAGAAATTAAGTTCATTTTAATTCTTATTACTGTGAGGTAGCTGGTTTACAGCTTCATTTCTCGGAAGACTAGAAACCTCTTTGTCACTTCCAGTCTTAAGTACACTTGGTTCTCTTTCCTCCCTTGACCAGTTCACCACAACTATTTGCTTTTGTGACTACACTGTTCTTTACTTTAAATGCCTATTTTGTTACTGATTTTCACCTAGCAGACCTTCATGCTTTTCGGACAGAAATTTGCTCCTCTGAGTATTTCTAGAGACGCAGTTAGCTGACTTTATTTTGCATCATGTGAAGAGTACTTGAATTCTTGAATCACATAATAAATACTTGAATCAGAAGTATTTTTGCTTAATAAAATGTTTTACAACTTAGGACGTCCCTTTTTTTCCTATAGCTTCCTAGTACCATTGCTTCTGAGTATCCTGTGAGACTTATTACTTTGTGGGAAGAGTATTGTAGTTAAAAAAGGAAAAAGTTTGTTTGAGGAAAAAGCAACAGTGAAAACATTTCAGTTGTTAGCCTTATAAATTTTGTCATTTTGATTTTTGTTTCCAGATGTTGCTCCAGTATTTCCTACATATTTAGGATTTTTTAAAAAATTAAAAGTCAATAAAATACAGAAATCCTGCATGCACATGCAGGTGTACTTTCATTTGTAAGACTACAGTAAATTTGAAATAAGACTTTTAAAAATGGCTAATCATGTAATATTTTTACTAATGGATATGATTATTACACTTCTAAAATGCTTATCCTGTCACTGTTGTTTTAGTGTTTTGCAGAGTTTCAAATCTGCATACCCTACGTGCACATAAGCAGCATTTCATTTCTGGGAAGGAAAAAGATTTCTGATTCAATCTTCTTTTTCAATATATTTTCAGATCTTTGCTTCATATTCTATATTCTCTTTCCTTTATTTACTGCTTTCTTTCATTTTCTCATGCTCTGGAAGAGCAAATTAAATGTGAATATCTAACCAGGTCTGTGGCTTCCATTTGGACAATGGGTGCTAGAGGTCAGATACAGAGCTATACATTCTTCTAGATAATGGCATGGTTGTTGGTAGTAAACAGGTCCTGTTTTGATACAAGGCATTGCTCAGGGTGATATTTGCAGATGAGAGCATTAAAGTGGTTTTGCTGAACCAAAGCATCAGGAGACACTTCCAGAAGTTCTTAGGAGATAACACTGAACAGGTTAAAACCATGACTGTAAAAGTATTTCACATATCCATTTGTTTGAAATGAAGTGCTAAACAGAATGGTTGCAAAAGCTATACCCCAGTGCAATGTTCTTATTTCAAACCTTGCAGATTTAGCATAGATATTTCAGAGAGCAGTGGTACGAATCTGTATCCCATGGAACCAGCAACAGATTTAGAATTTCTGGAATCTACAGTAAAGTGTGTTTATTTACCTCCTCTAGAAAAAAAAGAATGCATTTGTTAGATTTTTGTTAGAAGTTGCTACATAATGAATTACCTATTTCCATTTGTTTATCTTTATACATAGTGGTCAAATACAGATGGAGATGTCTTCCCTCGGTCAGGTACGTTAATGAGTGTATTATTACAAAATGCTTCTTGGGGGAAAGACAGGAAATGAACCAACCATTTCATCAATTAATAATCTACCAAGTAGGGAAGGGAAAAAGCTAGTAGGCTGGAGGACAGAACTAATTTTTCTTTAACATATTTATAGAATTGTTTGGATTTTTTTTTAATCTGTATACGTAATATTTTTCCATGTTTATCAGTTACTTTTTCATTGTAGTTTCCCTGCCCCTGTGTGTAACTGTCATGTATGCCAGTTCAGTTATGCATCCTCATCTACTATCTGACCCCCACATCTCCCTCTTCTAGTCTAGGAAAACAGTGCATTCATTAAGGATAACCACAAAATATTTTGTGAAATAACAATTGGTGTTTTTCCAGAGTACTGTCCTGTAGTTACAGAGACTATCTGAAGTATATTTTTAGAGTTTTACAGTGTGATATATGCAGCTTGTTATTTTTTCAGTGTACTGACTGGTGGACCGGTATTCTTTATGAAGTAGTTTTAGATTTACATTATCTATCTGTTATCACGGAACTGTAATTATGTAGTATCTGCTTACTTCTTTGTTTGCTTTTCATCACAGTTATTTGTAAGAAATAATTTAAGGTAATGTTATGCAAAAAAAAAAAAAAAGGTCTATTTCCAGTGGTACATGGTCTGAAGAGTTACTTATCTTACAGAGAGAAAGTGCTGAAGAGGAACTAGAATTTCAGAGGAGGAGGGAGTTTATAATGGAGAGAATAAAGCCTGAAGCGAGAACTTGTGAAAACAGTGAAAAATGGTCATTGAATCAGGTATGGAGGTGTTTAGATGCAATAAATGTGGAAACATCTGGCATGGATCTTTGCATTCTGTCAATTTGTGTGTGGGGATAATGGGTTTAGACCCATTTAGGGAGTTGGTTTGGCTTTGTTGGTGTGGTTTTTTGTTTTGTTTTGTGTGGGGTTTTTTTGGGGTGCGTGTTTTTTGTTTTGGTTTTTTTTTTGGGGTGGGGGGGAGTTGTGTGTGGGTTTTTTTGTGTTTTGTTGTTTTTTTTTTTCCTTAGCATGAATCTCACCGTTTGACAGCAAGTGGAAAGTTGACTAAGACCCATCTCTTAGGAAGGAACCGATATAATACAATTAATAAAAGTATTTTTACCCAATATAAAGTATAGTAGTTGCAGTGGTTGCATTTCCTTGGAAGAAAATGTCACCTCAAAGTTGTATCTTCAAGAAAATTAAATACCCAATTCCTCTCCTACCCACACCCCAAATATACTTGTAGTTACATAAGCTTCCAACTTCTTATTAACAACAGTATTTTTGTTATTATTTTTATTTTTATTGGTTTTTATTTGTTATTGCAAGCAGACTGTTTATAGGTTGAGATGATAAAGTTTCAAAAATATTTTAAGATTTCTGTATATTGTAATGATCCAGAAATAAAGAACTGCAAAAAGCCCTAATTTAAATGTTCGAGGCATATGATATTACTTCAGAACTTGCTGTATAGGGATTTTTGTGACTACTCTTGTAAGGAGATTGTGAGAGCAAAACTACGGAACATGCTGTTTAAGTTGGTAGCACGTTAATGTGATCTGTCGTATGGAGACATAGATTTTTTTGGTTTATGTTGATGCCTTTCAAATATTCTTATGTGCCATCATCATTTCTACCAGATATTCCTATGATAACCTTATGACTTTGTTAATATGAATTTTGTCTTTGCTTTTTCTTTAAAACGTCAAAAAAATTGAGTTGGTTGATCTCCTTTGTTGTATCGTTGTACATTGGGTTTACCACACTTTATTTGGAACAGTTCTTACTCCTTGTTGAGATGAACAGATAAGGCTAATTCAGTGTCGAAGTATGTGTGGTCTCTATTTTAGTGAACTGTTTAACAAGGATGCACCACTGAAGAAAAATCTTTCTAAACACCTGTGGGTGAAAGTACTAGGCACATTCTGTGAAATGGAAACACTTCCTGTAAGAGCAAGTTTTTAATCATGCTGCGTTCTTTGCAGTACAGTGAGCACTTGTGTTGCTGCTTATGTTACTAAACGAATTCAATTCAGCATAAATTCAAAATTCTAACTAGCACAGAAGTGCTCAAGCATGCAAGTCCCCAGGTAGAGCTGGTTAGGATCAGATGAGTAAGATTTCTTTCTGTTTATTCTAGGTAATACAGTGGTTGAGATAATGTTATGAAAGATGTCTAAAGCTGAAGAATTTTTTTTTTAAACTTGAAAAGTGGCAAGAAAGGTCATGAAGCAAAATGGGTGTGTAATCTCTCTTCCCATCTTGCTAGCTTCTGGGAAGCTCTGTGATTGTTGGGACCTAGTGTTCCAAGTGCTCTCTTTCGTCTTATCATTTTTATCTATTAAAAAAAGTTTTGTCTTAAAGAAACTGTTTTGAATTATAATTTACTTATGCCAGCTGTGTTTCTGCTAAGTTATGACTGATGCTGAATCAGTGATTTTATTTCAAATTTATTAATGTGATGTACATATTTCCAATGTGACTTAGACAGAAGTGGTAACCAAAGGTATGTTACATTGGAGTTATAAAATTTATTGCTTATGGAGTACTTCTCTCTTCAAATCTGGATTAAAAATCTATATTTGCATAATAAACCTTGGTGGTAGTTTAATTAAAAAAATATGTGAAACAAAATTGTGTGCTGCCTTTTACTGAACAAACATTAAAATCTTACAAACGCAGTTATAATCCCTTAGTATTGAAGATTAAAAGTTAATGACAAATCTGTGGGAATAATTTCCACGTTTTTTTAAAGTGTTGTTCGGCTAGCAATAGCAATAATATTTATTATTCATGCAAAGTAATGGTTTCAGCTAAAAAAAGAATTAGATATTAATCTATATCTGACTATCATGAGTAAAATGCCCCATTTTATTGTATCACTAATATAGTTTCTGAAATAGTTTTTTCTTTTCTTTTTTCTTTCCAAACATGCAGAATGATCTGATTGTTTGGAATACAAGTGGGCAGACCTCTCACAATGAGGTAAGATGCTGGTGCCATTTCTTTGTCTCTCATATATTTTATATGAGTGGTTCATATACTAAATGAAATGTAACTGAGTATCACAGAACGTATGACTGAGCTCATCAGAAACGGATATGGGGCTTGTTTGGCCTGTGGTTCATTCTTTTGGTCTTAAGGATTTACTAGCATATAAAAATACACTTTCTGCTAAGCTTATTTCTGAGCTTATGTAGTTTAGTATTAAACTTTTTTTTTATATATATATTTTCTCTATTCTGACACATTTTCTTTTTTTAATTTTTTTGGTGTTTAATTCTTCCTTGATTGACAAGACTTTCTGTTAATTTCAATGCAATTTCTTTTTGCAGAGTTGTCATGTCCTTTATTAGGTTTCAGAGGGGAGTATGATTTTATTGAATCTATTGCTCACACAGTGCTAATCTCATCAGAAGACTGAGAAACGGAAACTGTAGGGAGCTCCTTACAGAGATTTTTTTCTCTTCATATTTTTTATGCAGAAATAGGGCTTTTCCTTCTACGCTGCATTGTGCATGAGTATCCTACAAATTCATGAGCACCCAGGCACCTTCCACCAGTCTTGGTGATGGGACTTACATAATTCCCAGCTGCCAGAGGAATCATTTTTTTAAATGGGATTCCTATTATGAATTTTGGTCATAGGATTTTTTCTGTGTTACCATTAGTGGTATGATGATTATACTTCACTTTCTCCTGTATGTTGCTACTCCATTCTTCCTGCTGTAAGTCTTAACCTAGTTTAGGGTCAAGGGTGATCCTGCTCTGAGGTGTATGCTTAATTTCTCCTTTTCTGCTTTTTGTGCAGAAATTCAGTGTTGCATGGAAAATACCATGCACAATGGTAACTAATTCTGTGAAAGCAGCAAACATATCTAGGGAAAAAACGTGTCTTTGCTTTCTTTTTCTAAGTGTACTCTGCCACAGAATGTATGTTTCATGGAACCAATGATGACATGGGAGAAAACTGGGAAGTAATTGAGCTTATTTATAACTAGGGGGAATATCTTGCTGTCTTTTGTCAGAAACTCATCTTTTCCAGCAGAGAAGTAGGGCACAATAAAAAAGGGAGATTATCAGACGTTTGAGGCTATAATGTGATCAGATTATGGTGGAGTTGTAGCATACAGAAACTTTTGCATTTTACATAGGCAGATATGCTGAGATATTCTGGATGTTACTCTTACTTTATGTTCTTGAATTACACAGAATAAGGATAAAAGTCCAGCAATGTCTCCTACTACAAACACCACAATCCCTTTTGGCCTGAAGCCACGATCAGGTAATGTGGGAAAGACAATTAATCAACTTGTGTGTACTGTTTTGGGTTTTTTTATATCTGTGTTTTTATTAGGTGTCTATTTTTTTCCCTTAAGAAGGCAGCAATGTAACATTTACTGTACAATAGTCAGAAGATCAGAACATTTTAAAGTTTTATAGGTGTGAGTCAAGATTAAATTTGTAAGAAGTATATATTTGGCATATTATATATGGATCAATTTTCATCCCTTACTAATAAATTAGATTTTTTAATAAACTTATATGTATGTACATTTAAAAAAATATGTGTTTGTATATAATGATACATATTTTATATGTATATACATATTTATCATCTGTGCTACATACTAATTGAAATAAAAGTTTTTCCTGATTGGTATGTAGTGACACAGTTGAGATTTTGTTGAATAATATATCTGAATAATTGTTTGGAAGACACTTATACATTGCTCTGAAATTGTTCCCTTCATTGACTCTTTCAGTATTTATGCTTATGTAAAGATCAAGCATTATGGGAAGATCAGATCTTTACTTCATCCAGCAGCTGAGTTTAGTGAATTTGCAATACACTAAATCTGAATAACCACCAATCTTTGTAACAAGCAGCAGTTTATTTAAAAACAACCAAAAAGTAAACAACAAAAAACCCCCAAACATACAGATGCATTCCAGAGCTTGGATAACAACTTCCTTTGAAAACATGATTAACTCAGTCTCTGTTCTGAGGTAGTCAATATTGTTAAGTCATCTCACATCTCCTCTAAAGAGTAACTTTAGGTTTTTCAGTATGTTTCAGCATCCTAAGACTGTAGTTCTGGTTTCTCACGTTCCCCACAAATGCTCTTAAGCAACTGCTCTTAAACCACTACAAGCCTGTAGTTTCCATAACAAAATACCATGGCAACAATGGCAGCAATTTAGCTTTTTGAATGTTTATGAAATTGTACCCATAGATTTGGTGGATTTTTTGTGTTTTGGCAGGGATTTTTTTGAAAGGAAAGGTACCAAGTACCAAGGAAAATGGTACCGAACCAACCTCTTTTATGACGGAAGATACTTTTGAGTTTCTCATGTAGTTATGACACACAGTTTGACAGATCTGTTCAGTTGCATTTCCTAGATTGTTGGAATGTTAAACTATGGCTCAGTTTTGTTCCTGATGATTTAGAGATTATGTTATTTCTATATATATCTAAATTATAAAAATATAAAAATGGTGAGCAAAAGGGTCTTTTCAGGATTTGTTGAAAATTAAACATTAATTGCAAACTGCATAGTCCAGTGGCAACATTGCAATAACACTGTTAGGAGAAGACGTGTGAAAGTAAACGCCATGTTGCTGCTTTCATGGGATGTGGCCAGTGAAATCTGCTGCAGGGACTGGAAGCAGCTTTGTGGGAGAATATGCAAGACCGTGATTTCTTGTTCAAGTGTTAGTTTAATGTGCGCTTCCACATCTTGGTTATATCAGTGTGTCAAGATTTCCTGTACTTAAGGACTGCAATAGGTCAGGGCAAAATAGCCTATTGACTCTTTCTAAGAGAATTTTTAGAAATACTTGGTTGTTATGGTTGCAGTCCTTTGCAACAAAGCTTTCAAGTCACATGATGCAAGACTAGGTGTGCACAGCTCCCAAAGTTCTTCCCCCGATATAATGCAGCTGTGTATAGCCTCATTGAAAACCAAAGTCAATTGGTTACAACCAGCTTATTTTCTGCACTCTGCTAATTCAAATTCATACATTTGAATAGTTTTGAATATGCCGATACTGTAGTATGCACTACACTGTAGTCTTTGGTCACAGTATGGGTTGCAGTAAACTTGATAATCTGAAATTATTTTCTTTTCCGTGTCAGACGCAACAGTCGCCTGATCACATACAGTTTCAGTCACATTAAGTTTACAGCATGGTAAAATAGAGGAACTTGGCAGCAGTAAAACTTGAGCTCCAACTTTAGATAAAAATACAGTATATTAGCTATGTAGTACTGTGTAACAAAATGAAACATTGCAAAGGCATAGTAAAGCTGCATATTGTTTCCTGTTCTACTCCCATCATAGCATTGCTCTAAAAATAAAATTAAAAATTGTTTTGCTAATACATTAAAAAAAATACACAGATAAAAGTAGTACATGACAGAAAATACTGACATGGTTTTCCTTTTAAAGCTGATTAGCTTGCCAGGTCTATAGTTTCTTTATTGTGTTTCCTTTAAAATTTTGTGCAAGTTTTGTGAGTTTGAACCATCCTATCACTGTCGGAATTTGCACTTCTTAATTATATACTGCTTTATTGCCCTAGACCTGAACTAGTGTAGTGGTCCAGCATTTCTGTAATCTAGGAAAGTTGTTCAGCTTAGTTTGTAGTTTATTTTAATAGCCTTTTTCATTTAGGTTCTTCATGGCCTTAGGAGAAGCGTTAAAACTCATTGGAAATGTAAGCTCTAATGAAGTTAAATAGTTTTAATGAGTCTTAACTACTTAACTTCATTAGAACTTACATTTGAATTAGTTGCTTCTATAAATCTTTAAAAACCAAGTGCAAGATTAAAAGAACATTGAAGTGTTCTAACTAAAATGCGTATATCATGCTCCATGAAAAAAACAGTGGCAAATTTTCAATGAAAATATATGCAGCCATATTTTTTCAGAAATTTGAGAGTTTATTTTCACTGTGTTTATTTTCATCTATTTTAAATGAATGTTGCTTTCTATTTGACTTTCCCCCTCCTCCTCATTTCATAATGATTTATGTCTCTTGGAAAGGTGAAAGTAAACTGTTCTATGTCTGGTAAAGATTCCAGTTTTTTTGAAGTACACACACAAATGGAAGTGCATCCAGAGGATAAACCACAGTGGCTTAAACTTCTGTGTTAGTACACACTGATACGTGTTCAGGACTGAAGGTCCTTTTATTTTTCATTTTAAAACTAGGCAAAACATTGGGAAAATTCATATCTGATGGCTGACAGAAAGAACCCAAAGTCCCCAAAGAAAATGTTTTGAAAGGTAATGAATGTATTTAGATTTCTTGACAGATTCTTTTCAAGGATCAGATGTTAACATAGAACGTAAAAGAGAGAGGATTTTTTTAATTTTTCAGATTATTTCCCCCTGTATTTTAAATACTTTCATAGAGTATGGACTTTGCAAATTCACATTAATTTTGGAAACCTTAAAAAATACTATCGAAAAGAAACAATAATTACCAGTTTTCTTAGAACCATATTTTGCTCTTGGGAAGTGCTTTTGTTCCTTGAAAAGGAACCATCAAAATAGCTAATAAATTTGAAATCTCCCTCCTTTATTCATTAATTGATTAAAATGTTCAGAATGGTTGAAATTGAGAGTTGCGAAGGTCTTGCCACAGTATCTTTAATATACCAGACCTTCAAGTCTGAACAGCTACTAATAGATCTTGCAATCAAGAATATTTTTTGCTTCTGTGCCATTTTTAGGTCACAGTTTTTCTTATTTTCTACTGAGCAAAGTGACTGCAACACAAACAAATTTGTACTGTCAGAGGCTGAAACAAGCACTGACAAAACTCAAAGTCACAAAGCAGTTTGTGTTCTGAAGTGACAAGTTGTTCCCCTGCAACTGTTTATGTAGCATGCTCTTACTCGTGAGTCTAGTGTCTTCAGCTTTGGGAGCTTGTAGAGGATTTGAAGCACAATGTTAGTATCTATGGTGGACATGCTTGTATTTCAAGTTTGTTGAAACATATAGTAATCATTAAAACTTGACAGTGTTTTCCCCTCATTTGAGTGCTAGCTACTGTTTTTCTAATGTCTGGATATTTATTCCTTCCATTTGTTTTCTTCTCTAACTGCATTATCTGTGTACTTTAGAAAATAGTGAGAGTTCTGATTGCCAGCATAATTGAAGACTGTTTGTCATATGCCATAAGTCTATATTCTGTTACCAGTGCTGACTTTACTCAGAGCAGTAAATTCTGATTCAGAGTCAAGGCTTTTGTCAGGCAATTATGTAAAATCTATGGGTACTCTTTCTTAAAACTTTTTCGTAAACGAGTTGTGTGAAGTGCTGTGGTTACAATGATCTTGCTAAGCTTAACAGGCTTAACTGCGCATATAATGTATGATTTGCAAATACTAACATTTAACTCTTCGTTCTTTTTATCCTGCACCATCTTTCATTCTTTCCTCAAAATTTTATGCATTTTGTATTAATCACCTTTGAATTACATCTTTGTCATTACCATACAATCCTAATGCCATATATGAAATGCTACTGCCCACTTTTATCTCCCCTCTGGTCCTTATACCCAACATGGTTGGACTGGTTATCACTCCCCTCCAGCAGACCCATCCCTCAGTTTTCCTCCTATCTCCTTCAACACACTTACACAGGCACAAACATGGGACAACTTTAGCTACAGTATCCCATCTGAAGGAGACAGTGACAATGGTAGGTGTTCCATATATAATTTACTTAATTTTGTGTTTTCAGAAACATGAATATATGGCAAATGCCCCTTGTGGCTAAGAATGAAAGACCGTACTCTTCAGGGGATATCTATAAGACTAAACACCTCAAAGGATGAATGCTAATTTACTGTAGAATATGTACTGTTGAAAGTAAATGAGTGAAGAGTGTCCCTGTTTTCAAGTCTGGCAAAACAACTTTTCACATACACTCCCAAGAACTATTTTCAGTGTAGGTTTATTTGCTTGTATTACTTTCAAGAGTTTATAAAAGCTGCACTCAAACAACAGTAATTTTGTTACCCTTCTTTTGCATATTTTTATAGATACTATTAAAATATCCTACTCCCATCTGCATTTATTGATGCAGGTGCATAACTAACTTAATTAGAAGAAAAATCTCTGAAGAAACAAAGCTGAAAAAATTAGCTAAGCAATAAAAGTGATTTCTGTCCAAAAGAAACTGTTAATACGCTGTCAAACTTCTGCTCATAGTGAAAGTCAGGTACATTAGACGACTTCTGTTACTGCTGCTTTTGGTTGTTTTTTGTTTTCTTTTTTTTTTTTCCCAGGGTCTTATTGCCATAGTACATAAAGTCATGGCACTAGTATGCAAACTAGGCCATGTTTGGGCTATCAGGATCTTACACTGCATCAATAGTTAAATGTCAGATGAAAGAAATAGAACCTAGAACCTAGAAATAGAACCTTTGCAAATATTCAGTAGGCAGATGTTTTCGTTTGGGTTAGTGTTGTTTTTTTTTTTTTTTAAAGTAGGACTGTTTTTTCCAGGTGCTCTAAATTAGAAGGGCATTTAGAAGGTAATGAAACTGTTGAAAGTTTCAGATGGAAACCAAAAGACCACAAATATGAATGATAAATGTCAATATTTAGTTTACTGTTGAGGAAACTTTCCTGTCTGACTATTCAGATGCCACTCTAGAAGTCACACTTGTACCACCCCAGACTTTAAGTGCTTTAAGGACTGAAGCCCCTTCACTGCAGGCATTTTGTTCTTAGTTCAGTTCATTAGTTGACAGTATTTGTCATTTGCCACAGTGTTCTTAATTATAAAACCATAAAAGACAGCATGTGTAAGGAATCAACTCCATAAAGGAAATAAGTGTGGAATAGAAGAACTGATACTGCGAACTTGAAAAACTGAATTTAATATGGTAATATGACACTAACTTGACATTTTGCTGATGAATATTCTAACAGAGAAACCTAGAGGTGGTTCTGTTAATGCAGCACTTCATCTGTGTTAATCTACATTTTTTACTGGTTTACTCTTCTAAATGAAAGGAGTAACGCAGTTACAGACTAGTGCTTGTGCATTTGGAACAGATCGATACCTCCTGCCATTCACATCTTGAGCCAAATGCAAATATTAGTGTTTATTACCTTGGGAAGTTACAACAGAAAATGGCTTTTATAACTACATATGTTTTTAATTGGGGTTATTGCCTTTCTGCTATTTAGAGTGAATAAATCAATCAAAGAGAAATATAACTATAAACTTTTGACCTGACTTCATCTTCATTGACCTGTCATTAGTCCAACCTTCTCTTTGTCACTTAGTTTTAGAGTCAGGTTAAATCATCTTATGGTTTACCTGAAGGATAATGTTGTCAGACTTAAGTACTCACGACACTAAATTCCTTTATATGCAATTGATAGTGCACCTGGGTGCATTGGAACTGAGTACAGAAATGAAAATTTTCACCAGGAAGTTTGTCCTTGACTGTTCTATGTTGAATATGTATTGTATTATTAACTATTAACATGTCTAACTTGTTGAAACTTGTGCAAAATACTTAAAAACAAAATTATTGGAAGAAGCATTACAGAATAACATGGGTTGACCATGGATTCAAAAAGCAGAAACTCACTCTTCGAAAGAGTAAAAAGTAGACATTCAGGCATGTGTGTGTGTGAGGTATGGGCTCCCCTTGCTGGAAAATGTGTGTAATGCTGCAAAGCAAGCAACACTCAGGACTGCCAAAACTTCCTGTATTAGAACATTTTTCTTTAATTCAGTGTATAACTGAACCCTTTATAGCTAATGCTTTTTAGTGTGGGGTTTTTTTAAGTTTTGTTTTTTAATCAGTTAAGCTTATTTAATTGAGAAACTTCTAACTGTAGCTTCTCACTGCCTGGGATTAGTCTGCTTTTTTCCTTGTGATGGAATGTATGTCTCATTCAAGAATGGACATGACAAAAATAATGCCGATAGTTTTTGGTAACGAATGTTTGTAGTCTGAAATTGGAAGGAAGTAGATCTACTGGAATGTTCTAGTAGAACATTAATACTGACTTTGCAAAGGCCTAAGCAAGGTTAGCTGTGGCCAAACTGAATGAAGACCATAATAATATTCTGATTCTATGAAAATTGAACTTAATTCTGAACTAATGCTTTTGTAGAGAATAATTTGAAATGTTGCTACTGATAATAAAGCTACAGTGGCTTTTAAATACATTTAAACATATTACTACTCTTCAAGCATGATTTTATCTAGATGTGTTTCATCCATGAGAGCCAGGAAAGCTCAATTATTAGAGTTTTACAGTGAACTAGAAAATCTTAGAAATTGCAACTACAGTTTTTAATACATGTGATAGGAGATTTTTATTTCACCCATTCAAAATTTAGGAGCAGTCTCCAATAAATTACTATGGAGTTGCTAATGCAGAAACTTCAATACAGTACAATCCTGGAGTTTGATAGAAGTCTGCACTTGTAATAGTTTCTGCACTTGGAAAACTTGGGATTTGGGTTTTTTTGTTGTTGTTGTAGCCATACTAAACTGGATGCTTTATTAAATAACATTTTATATATTTTTCACCATATGTAAGTCTTTTAACAGCCTTTGTATGTTTGGGTATGTGCAGTCAGTTATGTGTAGCCTGTCTACAAAATGTTAGTAAGCACAGATCTGTTGATGCACTGTACTTTGGATATAGAATTCAATTCCAAGTGTGCAGTTTGCCTTCTGTACAGACAAAGATTAAATGTCAGTACAAGTGTGGACCTCTTGCATCTTAAAGCATGGCTCTGCTACTCTGTGAAGTGTGAGAAGTCAGCATAATGAAAGTTTTTATTTATGATGTGTGCACCTGTGTGTGGATCCTTCTGAATGGTGACACTGATGAAGATATGTAGTCCACCTGGAGAAGGGAACTGAGCTACAGAACTGTCTGTAGTTCTTAGTCCTGCACTTTTCTACAGGACACGCTCCTACTCTGCCAGTGGGATTTCTGGTGACATCAAAAAGAATAGAGTTTACTAAGATAAAACTGTAATATTTAGGTGTTTTATTCAAAAGGAGTTTAGTTTAACAAATAACCTTTAATATAGCATTCTAAAAATTACTGATTTAACAGATGTAGAAAGTTTCAATTGCCAGAGAGAAGTTAAAACTGTGACTGTGATTGCACCCATGTGTACTTTTCCTACATTTAAGAGTAATTAATCTTTTCTCACTCCTCTAGTAGTTGCTATTAGCAGTTCTTACACTTCCCATTGATGTGCCTTTTAGGAAACAAAAGTCTCCTCTCTTCTGTCCCGTTACTTATCGACCTAGAAATTGTCCTAGAAATTCAATAATGGCATTAAATTAACAAAATTGAGGCTGTGCAGTAGCTATATATAAAACCAGAGGTTTTTAGGCTTTGTGCTTTCCGCATCATTAAGTGATACTTAGCATTTCATGTTGCATTCAGGAGAGAGACATGAAAATAATGATACAAAACAGTTCTTTCTTTTGAGCAGTATAATTTTCTGTAATAATCTAGTTGACCTATAATTTGAATAGCAAACATGGGACAGTTGCATTTTCTGAAACAAAATGGCAAAGTGGCAAACGGGTGACAGTTGCATTTTGACCATGCATCTTGTTCTTCCAAACCACTCAAAACAGTCATTGACCACAAAAATGGAAGTCTAGAGGTGCATATGTATGGAAATGTCATGTAATTATTTCAAGGAACTGCATGTGGGCAAAGTGATAAAGTCGACAGGATTGGTGGGAAGCAGTACTGCAAAGAGTTCGTGCAGTGCTACATTTGCAATACAGCGTTCTAATGTAGGCAGAGTTACTGAATGGCTAAGTCTGCCTACATTAATGTTTGTTTGCTGGGTGGTGGGTTTTTTGTTGGGTTTTGTTTGTTTGTTGGTTTGGTTTGGTTTTTTTTTAGCATAATCTTATCTAGTAAGCATTTTGTTCTCTGTAGGAGGCTCATCTCAGCTTGTTACACAATTCAGCATCTTGTAGGAGAACGTTCTACTTCAAAGAATAAGAGATGTTTCTTGCCATGTTAAGATAGAGAGTTTTGTACAGATCAGACTCTCTAAGGGGTGATGCTGGTGCTTAAATCATCTTGACAAAATTTGCCCACTGAGATTAGGATTTGATTCAGAAATTATCCACTCCATTGGTGGTACAGGAAGCTGTCCAGAGCAATATCAAAAAAATATCATTCATGATTGTAATCCAAGATCAGATTTTCCTGTCCTTCTGAGGACAAAGAAATTTTCTAACAGTTTTTGCTGGAGGTAGTACCTAAGGATTTGCTTCATTTAGAAATAAATAAATCATAGTGTTCGTTCTTAAACTAAAATCTCTCTTTTTAAAAACCACAGTATTCTTAAGACCACAAAGAAATTTGGAATCAATAGACCCACAGTTTACAATTCGAAGGAAAATGGAGCAGATGAGAGAAGAGAGAGAGCTTGTGGAACAGCTACGTGAGGTATGTGAGTATTGGTAGAATTAGTTTATGCTGATGGAATGTCTTTTTGAAGTTTTCCTTTTGGAAAGTTGCCGAAGTAGGAGAATGTAAGAAAGGTTAAATGAGGCAATATTACTTCTGCAAATTACACTGGTGAGACCATTCCTGGAGTGCTTTATCACAATCAGATGTCTGTACTTCAGGACAGGTTTTGTAAAAATGGGAAAATTATAATGAGAGTTACCTGAATGACATACAGTTAATCAGCATGCCTTACACTTGGAATTAACCATTTATTTAATCAGAAAGGATGAAGTGATCACTTAAGAGAGAGATCTAGAAACTATTTCCAAACAGCTGGAGAAATCTTGAGTTTTACAAGTAAAAGACATGAAATTTATTAGTTAAAGCTGAAAACAGATAGCTAATGCTTACAACAGCTTTCTTATAAATTAAATGAATATTCCATTAATTGAAGATCTGAATACAGAAGGTGGTTCCTGATACATTATCTTGTATATAGAAGCTAGAACTTGATGCAAAAATTGCTGCATGTGGTTGCAGAGAGTCTGTGTGTCACCTATTTATGCGTAAAAAAAAAAGATGACAACCTTTGCCACAAGGAATGTCGTGACCCTGAACCTGTCAAGGTTTCCAGTTATGTCACATCAGCAACAGAATAGATGGTATAATTGCAGTCTTAAATGCAGTGCAAATCCTGAAAGTATGGGTGATTTTGACATCACAACTGGATTACAAGATTATTTGTTCTTATCTTATTAGCTTCATGGAATTGCTAATTGCAAAATTATGAACTTATTTTAAATAATGTGTCTGTCTATGATTTAATTTTAAAGCAAGAGGGTTCATTTTTTTCTCTTTACCAAATACTGTTTAAAAGGCAGGATTTTAATGTAGAACTATGCAGACTTTTGTATTTTCATTGTCTTACCTCAGACCCTCACTTGTTTTAAGTATGAATTAATCTTAAATTTGTCTTGCTTATTTTTTCTAACAAAAAAGATCTTGTTGAAGATTTAATGTAGTTGATGTAATGTAGAATATTACTAATTCTAAACTTGAATGATGCCAGAAGGACAAGGTGCAGGAATTAGATGAGACAGACTTACTGGTGATGGAGAAGAAAATGAAAGTAGCAGTAATAAACTGCAGTAGGATGTAGTTATTTTGAGCCTAGTCTATTCAGCACCATCAGTGCAGCTTTTTACATTTATTTTAAGCATTACCATAAGTATGTAGCAAGTCCCCAAGTAATTGTTCCTAAAAATAATCATAAGTAATGTCCTCAATGTTCCTGCCTTGTTTATTAGTGAAAAGTAGAACAAGGTTATTCACCATACAGGCATGATTATGGACATGTAATAAGGACCTCTCTACACAGTATTCATATTAGATAATACCAATAATATTGGTTTAATGTGTTATTGACCTTCAGCTCCATGCACTGTCCTTCTTTGCCCTTACTCTGAAACATTGTGTATGGAATAGAAGTTCTTTTTTTTCTTGTGAGAAGTTTGATCACAAGTCAAGGAGAACATATAAGTTAGTAAGTATATACTTTATTCAGTAAATATACCCATTAGTATATTTTGCTTTTGAATTGTTTCATGGTAAGTTAGCATTTAGAGAGATTACACAGAACTTGCAGCCTTAACCAAGTTGTGCACTAAACAAGAAGGAACAACTAGTACCTTACTCAGGCTCCTTATTTAGGAATCTAAATGCACATTTACCTTTAGCTCAACCACTTCACCCAAGACACATATTGTGAGAACATTGGTGTTTCTTTCATACATTCCTCCCTTTTCTGTAGAATGGGTGTGTTTTTGCAGAAATTGTTCCATCTCAGAAAATACTTTGCTTCAGAGACACGCTTAGTTTTCTTCCATGTGATTTTGTTCATTTGGTCTATGGTCACTTCAGACAGTTGTCATCTCAAGAGTGATGTACAACTGAGCAGTACAGTCTAGCAAGAAATGCTGGTTGATTTTTTTCACTCAAAAGGTAAACAGTCAGTAGTTTTGGCATGCTAAGTAGGACAAATTGTCTGATGTTGTAGTGTGGATGATTTTTGAAAAAGAGAGCAGTTCTTGCGTGGTGACAAAACTAAAAGAAATTGCTTTGAGTCTTCAATTTTATTTAAATCTAGTCTTAAACCCTGACCTCCAGCATGAAATGGCATTGAACTGGAATTGTAGATGCACTGTGCTCATAAAAAAGTGGAGCCTGTCTATGCTGAATAGTCTCACAACAGATAAATCAGTGTTTTAAGGAAGAAGTTTTTAGTTCATTAATTTATATAAATCTGTTTGTAACAGGACTTTGTAAAAGTCTCAAAGTGTATTCTTTTATGAACTTATATACCCAAGATGTTTTCTGATTTATGAATTAAACCAAGGTGAAAACAAAACATTAGACTGATGAGTGAATCATGCTCAGGGGAGGTTATTTCATGGTGAGGCCACCCAAACAAAGGATGTGTAAGGGAGAACCAAAGAGCTGGATTTCTTTAACTTGGATTTCTAGCTTTAGAGTGCTGAGAATATCACGACTGTCCCAAAGGCCAGTAAAAGAGAAAATAAAGCCTGGCTTTTCAAAGACAAACAGTGAAACAATGAGAGACAGTGGTACAAATTGCAGAAAAAGAAATTTCAAGTAGCTATAAGGAGAAAATTCTTTGCCATAATGGCAGTAAAACACTGAAGAAAGTTGCTTGGAAATTCTGGGGGCTCTCCATCCTTACAAATATCCAAAACTTAACTAACCAAGGCTACGGTGTCACTACAAATTTGTTAGACCAGGGAACCTTCAAAAATCCCTTCCAGACTACTTTCTCCTTTGATTCTAAAAAGAATTATCTATTCATAGATACTCATATTCAACCAGTACAGGTTGAGGTAATGTGTTAATAGAGAGTAATGATATTAAGGAGGTTAAACTAGGAGTAAGAAATAGCTATTTAAAGATAATGGAAGTAATTACCTCTAAGTATAGAGTTAGAATATTTTCAAGATTGGAACACAATTCAGGAAACTCATCATATATAACAATCTTAATTATTTTTTTTAAATTCTCAAATATTTTCAAAAATATTTCATTTGCCAATATCAAATTATTTTCAATGAGACTTCCATTTTACTTAACAGATATCCAAAGATTCTTTTGTCTCTGAATGTTTTGCCTTGCCTTACCTGTTTTTCTGATCACTCTTATGCTTCCTAAGTAATTTTTAGACTACTGGAGAAAGGTGGGTTTTTACTCTCTGCTTGTACAGTCATTAGCACAATGTTGTTCTGGTTCAATGTGCTGGTGATAAAGAAATTCAAGACTGATAAATAGAAGACTTGGGTGAATGGTAAAAGGAAGGAGGCACATGTAATGCAGTCACATGGCTAATTGCATGCAGATGTGGTTTTAAATATTTTCTATACAGGAATTGTGTTTCTTGGTAAATCAAAACTCCAAATGTGTCTACAGCACAGGAGATGAGGATATATACTCCCTTTTTTCCCCTTCAACCCTTTCTATGTCAAAGTGTGCATGCCTTCTTTATTTGCAGAACATAGAAACAAGACTAAAGATTTGTTTACCTGAAGACCTGGGGTCAGCTCTGATGGACGGTGTAGTTCTCTGCCACTTAGTAAATCATGTTCGCCCTCGGTCTGTAGGAAGTATTCATGTACCTTCACCAGCCGTAGTAAGTTGCATGTTTCTTGCTGCATTGAAATGTTTTATCAATTACTGTTTTATTGCTAAATGGTATTTGGTTACGTAAACCAGACTGCTGTTCAATGAATGTTCTTTGCTGTTAGGGGCAACATTTACACTGTTGCAAATTCAAATGTTCGTTAATTTTTATGTGTTATATATACAGATATAAAATGTGTGTGTATGCGTATCTAAAAGTGAGTAAATTTATCCTGCCTTTCTCTGATCTAGAAACCAGGTCAGATATTTTCATAATGGTCTTTTTGTTCAGAACAGTATGAAATCTGTGATTATCAGTTTTTATTCTAAACCTCACAAATTTTAAGAAGAAAATTAGCCCTTGTTTGTTGATTGAAAAAATATGAGGTTAACTTCAGCAGTGTCTGGCTTAGCAGATGCCATGTTACTAAAACACTTAAAGCACATATTAGCATATTAATCCTGTTGAGTTAAATGTAGAGATGATTCTTTTTACTTGCAGACAGAACCATATAAAAACTTGCACTGTAGTGATTTAATATTGGCTTACCCAAACCTAAGGACCTGAATATTTCAGGACATAAAATCCATGTAATCACTGTGTGCACTTCTTGAAACTTAGTTTCTGTAGTGCTTTCTCTGCTTATGCCTTTTTCTTGGACAGATCTTTTTTCCAGGTTTTTGATAACAGTCTGGTTCTGAAGAGGTTTTATGTATTTTCAGACTGTCTGCCTTTTTTCTTTTTAATGTTCACATTAGTAAAATTTTGCCAGATACTTTGATTCTGAGAATACCATGTGGATTTTAGAGGCAGTCTGTAAGAACTTCCAAGAAGACAGATTTAAGGAAAAGATATTTTCTCAGATGGGCTAGTGGAGTTTTGTTTGCTGTTGCTTGATTTAAAATAATTTCTGTCTTTCGTAAAAATATGACATTGCCAAAATATGCAAACTCAAATTTCTGGAGCAAAAATTTTAGTTCTCTTGCCAATTTTTTAATACAAATATCTTGTGGTGTTTTCTGTAACAAAAAGCACTTATTTAAAATTTGTTTTTATTTTCTTTCAACTTTATATTGATTATGTTCTTTTGCTTGAAACAGCCTTCAAATTACTTTAGCCTAGAAAATTTGTTCTTTCAAGTCCTTGCTACTAGGAGGATATTCAGGAACTACCATTGTTTCACACCTTGCATTGAAAAAGTAAAATAGCAACGAGTTTGCATTTGTTTTTTCTTTAGTCACATGATATTTCTGTAAGTATTTGGTGAATAGTCCTGAGTAAGACAAATTATGGGAATGTTGGAAATTCTACAGTAATATGAAATATATTTTTCAGGGACATTAAAATTGTGTATGGTTACTGTAAATTTGTGAGTACATAAAAAATTTAAGAGGAGTGAACCTGATAATTAGTTAAGTCTGTTCTCCATGATGTACATTAAAATCCTTCATCACTTTATTTGTTGTCCAGAAAATGAATGTTGTCTGTAACAATCTTTATAACAGGCATCTTTTAGAACCTCACAAGCTGAATGTGAAGAAGTGGAGATCTTAAATGTGCTGGTGACTTTAGGAGCTAAGTAAAAGCACATGGCATCCATCCACAATTTATTTGCTCTGTGTTTGTAGGCATGATGTTTTTAGAGTTGATGTTGAGCAGAAATTGCTCAATTTGCAGAAATGTTGAGCAGAATTTTATGCACTGTTATCAGGAGAAATGTGGAAATGGAGCATCAGTACAAGAATGATGCAGTAGGTAAATTGAAAGAATTAATGTTTTTGACTTCTTTTGCCATAGACTATTTTTTTTTTGTTTTACAGCCTAAACTTAGCATGGCCAAATGCAGGAGAAATGTGGAAAACTTTTTGGATGCATGTAGAAAACTGGGGATACCAGAGGTAATTTAATTAAGTCTCTAATTTCTAGATGTTAAAAAGTGCAAATTACTTTAAAAAGTTTTAAAAAAAGTTAATTACTTTAAAGCTGAAGGATAACTTTATGAATCACAGATTTTCATCAATAAAGATGCTTTTTTTAAAAAAAGTTGGTCTAAATGTGATTTAATACTACTTTAGTGCATTTAACTGGCTCATGTCATAGCATTTAAAAATTGCAAGTTTTGTCTTAAATTAGTAATTCAGTATTATCTCTAATTCCTCCTTATCTTTGTCATGGAAAGTAAGTAAGGAATTGTGATATAGATAATATGTAATTAGCCAAAAGCTTGCTAATTTTTTTCGTTGCGCAATATAACTGCATTTTTACCTTGTGCTTTTAGAATATGAACTTTATTCATTTTTAATTTCCTTTTTTTACAATATTTCCCTTTTTTTACAATACTGGGTAGTTTATGCGTTGTAAAAGTGACTAATAGCACACTCAATCTCTTGTACTGAAACATTTCCACAGTGATTTGAAGAAAAGCATTGTGTGTTAGATGTGGAAAGTACATATGTATAAGGTTCTGTGATACAGGTACAAGTGTTTCAGGAGTTGGAAATAGGGACATTGCAGTGTTTGATATTTTCTGCTTTTCATTTAGGAATGGCAGCATTCATCATGTGATTTATTTTCATCTTTATAACTAATGAATGCTGGAGTTCTATTGGGAGTATTTTAAAGACTTGCATATGATCTAGAAGAACTTATTAAGAAAAAGTTAATTTCAAAAATGTGACCTCAAAAGAAGGTAAAAGGATTATACAAGGCCCTTTTAATCTGAACACAAGAAAATTGCATTATGTATTTTCACTGTTGCCTACATATGACAGTATAATGAAGGCAGTTCTTTTTAATCTGTTTCAAGAATGCTGAAGTGAAAGAATATTTTGTGTGATCTCTCCCACCATCCCCTTGGGGAGCAGATGGTAATGAAAAGATTTCACATTAGGAAAGAATTCCAATTTGAATTCTTTGGTTTTTTCTGTATTTTAGAACTCGATTTGGAGGACAGAAAAAGTAGCAGATCATTTTTGCTATTTGTAGGAATTTTGAGGGGGAGACTTTATCTTACAGTTCCAATGAATGGTTCATCATAAATTTAATTTTACAATTCAGTGTAATGGCTGGGTCTCTTAAGCTGTAATAGGTCATTTAATTCTTGTAATTATGTAATTTATTATGTTAGAATGATTTCATGTTAAAGGTAAAATTTCACTTCAAAGAAGATCAAAATCTCAGTGTTTTGGACTTGTAAACATGGAGTGTTTAAGCTGCCCCAAAGCTCAGTGTCTTCTGATGCATCATGAGTTATCAGTGAATTAGAATCAGATATTTCTGTCTATAGCCTGTTGGGAAAGAAAAGGCCAAGAGCTGTTTTCATTGCTGTCACGAGATCTTTCAGAAATGGAAATAGAACAGAAATATTTATAAAGTTCCTTGCAGAGCCATATTACAGATGGGTAGGTAAGCTAAGCCTTTATGATTTTTTTTGTAATTTTGAATTTCTATAAGTAAACTTTCTGGAGAGACACCTTTTTGGTTTTTTGTGAATAGACAGTTTCATATATAAATTTATTATTCCTCCTTTTTATTGCTTCCAGTGAAATTAGTGTTGAATGTTTTAGGATTTTTTAAAAAACTTTATTAAAATGTGTATTTTGAAGAGCTGCACAGAAGCTCAAGCCCTAGACCACTTCTCACCAGTCTGATCTATGAACTAACCATCCTTATGAACCTAAATAAGCATTAAGTTCTCTTGAGAAGAAAAACTCATTCTCTTAAACACTAAATGAATGGCTTGCAATTGTAAATATAAAATAGGTTTTAAGTACTCTAAGGATTTTCTTTTTTATTAGCTGTTGGTAATTTGCAAATGTATGTATTTTCTATAGATTTTGAAAATACATTATGGTTTGGAATTAGCTGGTAGATGCTAGAACTTCGCTGTGTGTTGGAGGGACATGTATTAGAAATGCAAAGTTGTGTAATAGCAAGTATGACAGTCAGCTGTCAGAGTTTCTAAAGAACTACAGATGGCGTGCTTAATGCTGCTTTTGATTGATGAGTTGTATGTTGCCTCACTGTCTCTGGAGAAACGAGTAAAAGGAGTGTAGTGAGTTACTACTTTTTTTTGAAAACAAGCATCTTACATGGGAAAGTGATAGGTTCCACTTTTGGGTCCTAATACCCATAGATGTTGGGCTTTTTGGTGCTACTTGTGTCCATGTTCAGTTCCTGAGAATTAACTTGAAATTCTGTTGCATGGGTTTTTAAAGGATTTAAAATTGTCATGATTCATGTTGGTTTCTTTTCAGTTATTTAAAGAGTAGAGTACATACTGTTTCCTGAACTCCACAGGTTTGGAATAAGACCCTGTTTAATCATGTCAAATGAAAACAAGAAAATAGCTAAGTAATTACTATGTTGTGCTGATGTGCATGGTTTCTTACTCCGTGGTTTTCAGCATTCGGTTCTTGGGTTAAAATTGCTTTGCCCAGAATGATCCTGGGAAACTTCATACAGGTTTAGAAAAATGAAATTGGTATCGAAATGTGTCCCACTGAGTATCAGACATTGTCATCTTGACAAAAGAATCACAAATACAAAATTCAGGAACATGGGGATCTCTTTATAGTGATGGGGAATGTAGATGATTCTAAAGCCATTACCTGTCAGATGAGAATTTCAGTACAATGAGGGACATGTTGAAATTGCTTTCTCTTAATGACCGTATGATGCTCCTGATTGTATGCAGAAGGGATGTGCTGGGTCATATGCAAAAGGGATCTTTTTAAACGTATGGTTCTGACCCTTAATAAGAAACTAAATAACAAGGCCCTGACTGCGCTGGCAGCCTATCAAAAGTGTGGGAATTGAAGGACAATTGAGTTGTGTCCAGTTTTGCCACTAACCTTTACTGTAGCACCTTATCAGAGATTCTTGTAGATCATTTTTTGAGACAAAACATTGGGTTTGTTTGATGAGAAAGGAATGGTGCCAGGTAAGTATCTGAAAGCCTGAAGATTGAGAAAATATCTGCAATGTCCCTTGAGAGGTATCTGACAAAAAGGTACAATCTTTGTCTCTTGGAAAATTACAAAGGAATACTTTATTTTGCATTGTTAACTAAACCCCACCCAATTACCTAATCTCCTCTGTAATAGTGGTAGAGTGACAAACAGTCTGACTTTCTGGCTGATACTGATTAAATAAGCAGGCAAGTGGCAGTATATGTGTGATAAAAAGGGCTACTGTTCCTACTGTATTTCTCAGTGACATGCACTATTTGGATGGTGCCATTCACTGGACTACATCGTTAATGTCGTATGGACCCACAAATGATGCCACCCATGCTGCTTACCCAAAAATGTTCACCTATATTGTACACACCCTCTCATGCTTTATGGGTTTAAAAAAAAGCTATTTTTTTATTTTTTCTGTTGCCTCTAAGCAACAGAAGCCTGTGGGCTTCAAAGTGTCAAATGTACCACTTCCAGTGCAGTTTTAATCTTCCTGGTAGCATCTCATCCCAGAGGTTTTAAAAATTATAAGAAGAGTGAATCATTATCACATGAGTATGTCTATGAAGTTATGGAAGTATTTTGATTTCACCTGCTCTTTCATAGAACCAATAGCAATATATGTAAATAATTGCAAAAACTTTCATACACATTTCTTTGAATTGTCATTGCCACATCAGTATTCATACTGTAGCAAAAAAGTAGACTTTTCCATTTTAACCTGCAAATTAATAACTTAATTAAATTTGAGCTGTTATTATTGGTAACTATATTACAGAGTATTTTTTCTTATACACTTTCAGTAGTGTTAACAAATATTCCTGTCAAAAGGAAAAAGCATTTGTTTTTTGGTGGGCTGAATGATACTTTTATTACAAGTAAGATTTAGACCAAAACAAAGCTGTAAATTCAGTATGTTATTTGAAAGGCAAAAGCTACAAGTTTTGGGTTGCATTTCTTCTCATTCTCAACTATGAACAAAGAAGGCATATCAGAAGTAGGATCTTCTAAGCATTTTTTCAAAAGAAAATGAACAAAGTATTTTCAGTGTCTGTGAAATTAGCTTTTTACAAAGACGCATGTTTTTTTTGATATGCAGATTACACTAATGCAATATCTTAAGTCTTTTGGCCCTTTTTGGGGCCTCTTCGGGTCAGAGAAATTAGCTTAATTTTTTTAAAAGGAAAGAAGAACTTTCCCCACATACACACACACCTTCTTATTCTTCATATAGCTCGAAAAAAAGATAGACTTATGTTATCTTGATTAGTACTAGAACAGTAATTTCTGTTGATAAAAAGTAGTGATAAAATGAAACCTTTCACAACCAAGTGTTCCAGAAAGAGTTTACCCAAGATTCTGTATTCCAGTGCATCAGTACTGATGCAACGTGGTTTAGTGGGACAAATTATATCTTGGGTGGGAATGGAAGACTTCTACCATGTCTCTCAAATTTCCAGTCAGTTACATAGTGTAAACATACTCAACAGAAAAGAGTGTGATGGTAAGAAATGGCCTTTTAGATTCAAGTTATCATATGAAGATGCAGATTACAAAAGATTTAGCTGTGACCCTTCCTGTGACTTTCGAGTCCTGCAAATGAATCTATTACTGCCTTTCAACCTCGTCCTCAGAAAACCAGGTCCACTATGGTGCAATGTCAGGCAGAATTATTCTAAAAATCCGTGTTAGTGTAGGAATTGAAAATTAAGTAAAACAATAAAATAAAAAAAAAAAGGAGGCTTTCATATTCTAAAAGTAGCAGAACAAAGTAAAGGAAGCAACTAAGCAGTTGAGTGTAAAGTGTTTTACCTTCTGTCCACCTGTTAGTTGATCAATTGGTAATCATGTTTCAGTTTAATGAAAGGTATATTATCATTGCCACTTATGCTTGTTTTCTGATCACTTCACATAATCAGTTACTTCTTCATAGTTTC